GGGGCAGGAGCTGTTGGCTGCTGGGCTGTACTGAGAAGGAAAATGATTGTTTTCTCTGTCAAGTGTGGGCAGCAGCAGCGTAAGTTGTGTGCTGTGGTGTTTTGAAACATCAGCCAGGGTGGCCCTGTGCTCTAATAGTGGGACCCTGCTCTGGAGACAGAGGGAACGTACCTAGATGAAAGCAGTACTGTGAGCCTGCAGGAGAGTAACCCAGGGGGGCCTTCTTTCCTTCCAGGCCATTTGATGCCAAGAATCCCTTCCTGGCTGTGGTTAGAGAGAACCGTAAGCTGAACGAGGGTGGGGAACGACACCTTATGCACCTGGAGCTGGATATCTCCAATTCCAAAATCAGGTAGGCTCTGGGAAAAACTGCTGCTATTTTGGGGGCTCCCATGTAGAAAAGGGAGGGGGGGGGGGGAAAAAGCATCTGATGGTTCCTTATTACCATGACTGCTGTCTCTTTGGGGTCCCTGATCCTGCAGGTGCAGCTCAGGTTTCAGTGTTGTCTTACAAACCAGCAGCCTGCTGGTCCTCCAGCTGGGCAGCTCAGGCGTGGCATGGACAAGAAGTAGTGCCTGTATTTCATCTCTTCTGCTCCTGTTCTTGTACCAGGTATGAGTCTGGGGACCACGTGGCTGTTTATCCGGCCAATGACGCATCTCTGGTGAATCAGTTTGGTGAGATTCTGGGCACGGATCTGGATACAGTCATGTCACTAAACAATTTGGATGGTGAGTATGGATCACCCATGCACATCAGCAGCTCTCCTGCTATGGTCTCTGTCCTTCCCACTGCAGCAAGAGTCAGATCACCCTCAGGTCCTGTAGCACCCATCCAGGCAGACACATCCCATGGCCACTCTAGATGTGTTTTGCAGTAGTGGCATAGAGCCTGTTTGCTGCAAGCCAGCTGAAGTGGATCAGTTGTGAAATGTTTGGTGTGCCCATTCAATACCAAATTATGTAACAGCATTCTCCTAATTACAGAGCACCAGCCCACCAGAGCATCCCTCTGCTACAGCAGCCCCAGAGCTCAATAGGAGCTTTTGAGTCTGAAACACTGTTTTTCAGTCCCTGGAGAATGCACAGACTTGGGGGCTGAGATGCCAGAAGAGAGCACTTTTCAATGCTGATACAAAGAGCTCTTCTTGGGCAGTGTTCCCAGCAGAGCTGGCCTGTGGCAGGAGGGAGGCTGCAGCTGCTGCTTGTGTTACTCCTGAGACAGCAACGCCTGACCTGAGGCATCATAGCTGCTGGCCCAGAAGTCCAAGAGCTGGCTTCTCATTTCCAAACAGTAAATGACTGTAATTCTCTGCTAGAGGCTGTAGACTCCTGTGTGGTGTCCTGGGCTGCCTGGCCTCACGCAATCATTCCTGCCCCTTACTTGCTCTTAGTTTGTAAACTGAATGTATCCAGCTTTGACTGACGGTACTTTGCTTTCCCAAATGTCCATGGCTGCAATCTACCATAATAGCAAGCGGTTGCTGACATCCTTCTTTCTTTTCTCTTCTCCTCCAGAGGAATCCAACAAGAAACACCCATTCCCCTGCCCCACCTCCTACCGTACAGCCCTGACCTACTACCTGGACATCACCAACCCGCCCCGCACCAACGTGCTCTATGAGCTGGCCCAGTATGCCACGGACGCTGGGGAGCAGGAGCAGCTCCGAAAGATGGCATCATCCACTGCTGAGGGGAAGGTGTGAGCTGCAGCCTTCCCAGCTAAGCTGCGGGTTGAGCTGGGTCTGGGGGATGCTTTCAGGGGAGGCGTTGTGCCGTGGTCAGAGAGCTGTGGGCTGTGTTTGTGGCTTTGTGGAGAAGTCATGGCTGTGCCTTCCTTGTCCGCAGGCTCTCTACCTCAGCTGGGTGGTGGAGGCCCGGAGGAACATCCTGGCCATCCTGCAGGACATGCCCTCGCTGCATCCCCCCATCGACCACTTGTGTGAGCTCCTGCCCCGTCTGCAGGCCCGCTACTACTCCATTGCCTCCTCCTCCAAGGTGAGCAGGCAGCACGAGGGATGCTAAGAAAGCCATTTAGCTCCACAGTGCCATGGTCCCCTTGCTCTGACACGGACAAGACTTTGGGAATTTGCTCTGGGTTATCCCAACTTCTGGAGAGGGGATTTTTTTGTCCTGCGTAGCAGCCAGGCTGAGGAGCTGGGCTCCCTCTGCCTCGCACCGACGTCCCCTTCCTGCAGGTCCACCCCAACTCCATCCACATCTGCGCTGTGACGGTGGAGTACGAGACCAAGACGGGAAGGGTGAACAAAGGGGTGGCCACCAACTGGCTGAAGAACAAGGTGCCCAACGAGAATGGGAGGAACTCCCTGGTGCCCATGTATGTCCGGAAGTCGCAGTTCCGCCTGCCCTTCAAACCCAGCACACCTGTCATCATGATTGGACCGGGCACAGGCATAGCCCCCTTCATGGGCTTCATCCAGGAGCGGGCCTGGCTGAAGGAGCAAGGTGAGAACCCCAAAACTCCCCTGGGCGCTGAGGGGTGCCCTGCTGGGCTGGTCGGTGCCTCCATTGCCACATCCAGTGGGTTGGGGAGATGACTGCAGGTGAAGGGCAGCGTATCTTGACCCAGCACAAGGAGACTTTGTTCTTGGTTGCTGGCCACAGGGGGGCACTTTGAGGGCGGGTAGATCGAAGCTATTTCTCTGACTTCTGCCACCTCTCCAGAAAAGCGCAGGCAGGTCACCTTGACTCATTTCGAAAGCACGTAGCTATCTTGGGATCAGCCTCGAGATAAACAGAAGCAACAGCTCTGCCAGCCCTGGGCTGAGTGAGCAGGACAGGGGGCTGCAAGGGGCTGATGGGTGCTTTGTGACCGCAGGCAAAGAGGTGGGTGAGACGGTGCTGTACTACGGCTGTCGCCATGAGCAGGAGGACTACCTGTACCGCCAGGAGCTGGCCCGCTTCAAGCAGGAGGGCGTCCTCACCCAGCTCAACGTCGCCTTCTCCAGGGACCAGGCTGAGAAGGTACCTCTCTTGTCCATCACACAGTTGTTCCCATTGCCCAGCATCGCTCCCCTAAAATCACAGAGTATCCTGAGTTGGAAAGGAAACACAAGGATCAAGCTGTGATGGTGGGGGGTCAATGAGGCTTTGAGGACTGGGGAAGGGCCAGCCCTGCTGTTTGAGGAGGCCCAGGGCAGCCCAAGGAGCACCCAGCTCCTCTGCTGCTGTGTGGTTCTGCGTGAGATGGGAGGGGGGAGGTCTATGGGCATGGGCTTGGCATCCCCCCCCGGCCTGTGACACAGCCCATTGTTTCTTGCCAGGTTTATGTCCAGCACTTAATAAAGAAGAACAAGGAACACATCTGGAAGCTGGTGAATGATGGAAACGCTCACATCTATGTGTGTGGGTAAGTCTTGGGACGAGGAAGGGACTTTGGGACGAATGTTCCTATATTTTGGAAAATGAGTGTGGCCCCCATTTACACGCTTGCTCACTTTTTTTCAGTAGGAAAGGGAGCAGCCAGGTAAATGGGCTGGGCAGGGCAAACTGCCCCCATCCACACGTTTAGGGACAGCCAGCTTTTATTTGCTGTGTTGTCACCTCACTCACGGTCCTCTTCTTTCCAGGGATGCCCGCAACATGGCCCGGGACGTGCAGAACACTTTCTATGAGATTGTGGCTGAGTATGGGAACATGAATCAGTCTCAGGCTGTGGACTATGTAAAGAAACTGATGACTAAGGGCCGGTACTCTTTGGATGTATGGAGCTAAGAGAGAGGATGGTGGGGCCAGGGAGAGAAGGCAGGAGGTGCCCTCCCACCCGCTGTTCCTATGGGTGACCGTGTTATCCCCAGCCTCCAGCTGCCCCACTGTCACCCCAACCCCTCTTCTGCACCCAGGGTGGGCTGTGGCTGTGCACCCTGGGTGGTTGAAGGGGGCAGGTGGAGGGACAGGGGGTGGCCGAGGCTTTGTCCACGGTGTTTGCCCTGGGGATGTGGGGCAGGAGGGATGGATGGCCCTGGGGGAGCTCTCGGGTCTTTTCTGAACACGGGGTGTTGCCTTATTTCCTGGCACCTCGTTCTGGAACTGCAGACCACCCTTGTGCCCTGCAGGCTGGGGATGGCAGCGGGGGTGGAGGAACCTGGCAGGTTTGGTGCGAGGGCAGCGTGGGGCAGCGATCTGCTCTCATCCCTCTCCTACTGTTCGACCCTCCCTAGGGCTAGCTCCTACCATGCTGTCCTTAAATGACCACAAGCTGCTTTGTGAGGAAAAGGCACAGCCTGCACCCAGCCTGGACCTGCAGGCACCCCCCCTCTTCCCCTACAGCCCTCCTGGGTTCCAGCACTCAGCAGGGCAGGGGGCAGCTCCTCTCCCCTCCCCACAGCCCGGTCTGGGGTCACAGCTGCAGGATCCTGCTGGCTCCCTTGGGCCCTTCAGCTGGCAGCTCCCCTGTTCCCAGTCCCTCTGTCATGCTGTGTACGCTCATTTTTTTTTTTTTAAATACTGTTTTTGTTTCAATATCTTTGTGATTTTAATCATGGAAGAAAAAAAGAAAAACAACCTTTCAGGCTGTTCAATGACTGTAAATTATTTAAATATTCTTGCCCTTGGAATAAAAACACTGTTTCTGTAGTTTGCTGCTTGCTCTTCTGTTTTCCCCCTGGCCCACTGAAGGAAAGGAGAAGCAATAGCTGCCCCCTCCAACCTTCCCCCCGCCAAGGAGATGGGGGGAGCACACAGGGACTGCTGAGTGAGGTGACACAACGCTGCTTGTTTCAGGAGTTCCCTGCAGTAGCAGAGGGCTTCAGGGACGCTGCACTGGGCTGTGTGCTGCTGTTTGTTCTGCAGCATCAGCCAGCAGCGTGGCTTTGCTCAGCCCTCCCGTTTCTGTCATACTGCAATCAACTGTGCTTCACCCCAGGCAGGTGTGGAGCAGCTGGAAACGACTTTCATCCCTCCCCCCTGCAATGACAGCCCACTGCCACACTGCCTGAGTGCAAAACGATGCCTGTGCTCGGTTCCAAGACCCCAGCAAAGCAAGGAAGTACCTTCCCTTTATTATTTTTGCATATGCATCCTCCAGAGATGCAAGGCCAGGGAGCTGTGAAGCCTGGTTCTCAGGTTCGCAGTGCTCCCCCTCTTCCTGTACCCACAGCTCTGCCTGCTCAGCCCCTCTTCACATTGAAGGGTGAGGAAGAACTCGGGGTGCTCCATCCCAAAGAGCAGCACGTGTGTGCAGCCTTCGGCCTCCCTGCTATGGGGGGGCTGCAGGGGCAGCATTCCTGCACGTGGCTTCAGGACCCGGTGTTGCAGGGTGCTCCTGCTGCCCGCTGAGTGACACAGGCACAGATTCAGCACCACAGAGAACACGTTCTCTATTCACAAGCAAGCCCCCAGCTCTGTCCTGCATCCAGGCTTGCACAGAATGGGTGAGACACCAGAGTCTGGACGGCATCAAGGCAAGGAGATGGGAATGGGATGGAGCCAGCGGGGAGAAACAGTCCTGGCCCCCGTGCTGCTCCTCTTCAGTTCCGCTTTGTGTCTTTGCTCTGGTTCTGAAACTTCTGGTGCACAACACGAAGGGTGGTGAAGAAGTTCCCCAGGAAGAGGACGAAGAAGGGGAGGCCGCACATGAGAACCTGGGGGAGCCACGGAGCTGTGAGGCAGCAGGGATGGACACCCCTCCCCGCGCAGCCGCCCATGAGCCACCCCTACCTGCCACTCCTTGCACTCTGGGTGCTGCAGCATCCGGAAAAGGGTGACAGCATTGTAGAGCTGCCAGAACTGCAGGAGAAAGGAGATTGAGGGATTGTCCAAGGCTCGCCCTTACGCTGATGCTCAGCTGGCTGCTCCCTCACATGAGGCCAGGCTGCCTCTGCGCAGCCATGAAACCCCACACGGGCTTGAAGTGAGCATCAGCCTAAATGGTGGAAATGGACCTTCCATAGCAGCTCAAGAGCTGAACTTCAGAAGGGCTTGAGAAGGGTTGTCAGAGCCCCTCTGCTGTATTTACACAGCGCTCAAGCACTTGGCAGCACTACCAGCTCCACAACTCAGTGGCCAAGTCACAGAGGTGGGTGCTCTGGGGGAAGAAGAGGAGGCTCAGCCTCTGGCACCTGTACTGTGTGCCTGCAGCAGCCCAGGCACAGTGAGGAATGGTGTGGCTCAGTCCCATCCCAGGCCTCCCATGTGTCCCTGGGAGGGTTGGTGCACTCACCTGTCCAAAGAAGAGGAAAGGAAGCAGGAAGGTGAGGCCTCTCCACATCCAGGACTGGAAGCCCTCTGCAAAGGATGAAGGTTTGCTGAGAACGTGCTCACAGGGCCAGGATGGAGCAGAGCTCCAAAGGCCAGGGCAGGGCGGTTCAGTGGCCATCCCGTGCCTGGCTGAGGCCCTGCAGGGCACTACAGGGGCAGGTTTCCTATCCCTGGGGTCCAGAGTGGGTAGGAGGGAAGGAGGAAGGTGCTCCCGTGGGGCTGCCCTCAGCCAGAGCTGGGCTGTAGAGGCTGCACAGGGGGGATGCTGGTTATGTTTGTGGCATCTTTTCTGATGCCAGCACTCATAAACCACGGTCTGATCTTGGAACAAAAATAACTACCACCATTGCTTCTAACAGGAACACAGCACCCGCTGAGCCTAACACCGGCCTGGCCCTGGGAGGGGGGTTGCTGTCAGGAGCAGAGGTGACAGCATGTCCAGCTGTCCAGGACAACCTCAGGGAAGATCTGGCTTACCCACAGTGAGGTCCATGTTGTGCCTCTCACCCAGCGCTCGGAGCCGGTACAAGCACCCGCTCTGGTAGTAGTATTGGAGGAACTGCACGAAGCCTGCAAAGAGAGTGGATGAGGGCAGGAGGCACCAGCCTGCGGGCTCAGCACCAACTCAGCTTCGAGTTGCCTGTGCACAGAGCTCTTCCTGGCTCCTGGGAGGCAGAAGGCAGGAGAAGAGCTAAGGGAAAACCCCAGTGGGCCGAGTATCCAGTCAGTTCTCCGCTGCAGAGCTGGGCAGCACAGCACACCTGGCCACTGCAGGCAGGTCCTGGCCCAGCAGGCATGGCAGCACTTACTTTGGTACATGGAGAAGGAGAGGAACTGGTTCCTGAACATCTGGTACATGAGCCCATCTGGCCTGCGGAGAGAGGACACTGATAGGGGTGTGTGGGAGTGAGGAGATGCTGCCAACCCTGCCTGCCCCACAGCTGAGGTCACAGCGCTGCTGCCAGCTCCCAGCAGAACAGGGGGACCACAGCACAGACCCTCGGTGTCAGCGTCTCACAGAACACTATCTGCCCAGCTTGGGAAGCCAGGAAGTAGGAGGCTGGCAGGACAGAGGTCAGGAAAACACTGCACAGCCCTTGGACAGGAATTGCAACACTGCAAACAGTGTTACCCAACAGAGATCTGGGCTGTGCTGCCTGCCTCGCTGAGGTGCTGGTGGCTGCTTTGGTTTGGGGTGCCGAGGAATGCATGGAGCTGATGATTATAGCATAATGCTCATGGGGAGGAATACAGCTGTGGGTTAGGGCACAGAGAGCAAAGGCCCCGTCAGCCAGGCTGGCACGGCACAGGCAGGCCAGGTCTCTACACACAGGAGCTGAGGATGCAGACTTACCAAGTCAGCATGACGCCTGAGAGGAACGTGGAGATGTGGTGATGGAAAACCCACCAGCCCTTGATTCTGGAAGACAGACGCAGGCAAGGGGTCAGGAATTGGGATCCAAATTCACCCTAGGAAAGCAGAGCCAGCCAAGTGCCAGCCACCTGGTAGCTCCCAGGGCAAGGCAAGAGCAGAGATGGTTACGAAAGGGACGTGCATGGAGCAGGACCCAGCGCCTCCGGCCCAGGTGGTACCCAGGGCACCGCACCTTTCACACCACCTCCACACACTGAGTTCACCCAGCCCTCCCTCCCCAGCAGCTGCCTCAAAACCACAGCTAATTACTGTATGGGGGCTAATTACCAAGGTTTGTTACACGCCCTGAGTAGGAGGTGTCAGCTGCATCCCCGGGAAGCACAGAGCTGTGTGATGGGTGCACAATCTCTCAGCCCACAGAGCGAGAACTCACTGCCCACACCGAAACATGAGAGACTCACTTGGATCCGTTGTTGATCAGGATGCTCTCCCGGATGGTCAGCGTGCAGTAGTACCACACCAGGAGGAAGTTAAAGGCAGAATCCGTCACCCTGGCAAACAAAGCAGGGTGAAAAGACAGCAGGGAGACCACATCCCTGCAGCATGCTCATCCCTGGGAGGCCACCGTGTCCCCAGGGCAGGGGAGAGCTACAAGGTTGGGGCAGTCAATCCCTCTGGTGGACCTCCTGTTCAACTCCATTTTTTTGAGCTTTAGTGTTGCTCTGGGCTCTTCAGGACCAGAGGTGGATACAGGGGCTCTGGGAGGACAACTCTGCCCAGCACCCCAGGCAGACTCACCTGGAGTTTAGAAGGAACCGACAGGAGAAAGACACAATGAGCAAAATGATGGTGAGGTAGAGCTTGAACTTCTCATACTCGTCTTTGTAAGCAAACCTGCAGGGGTGTACAAGAACAGGCTTGGAGCAAGGTGGCTGCAGGCAGGCTGCATCCTGCCCTCCCACCTGGCTGGACAAAAGGGATGCCCTTCTGGGAGCCTCTTGAAAGAGCTAATGAAATCCTTGTCCCCCAAACACTCCTGAGAGGAGAGCAAACCACAGGGCAGCATTGCATCATTCCACAGCCACGCCAGCTGGGGAGGTGGCCCAGGGCACTCAGGAAGCTGAGCAGATCAGCACTGGTGCATTTCATGGAGAGCCCATGGAACAAGACAGCAGGGTCTGGGGCTCACTGCTCAGCACTTCTCACTGAGTGTCCCAGCATGGGGGCTGTCAGCACTGGCTGCCATAGCCAAGGCTTCCCCACAGCTGGGTCCCTCCTGAAGTCCCTAACACAGGGGAAACTCAGGCACAGCTTTGGTGGTGGGTCCCATTTAACTCATTACAGCCAGTGGTTCGTCCCAGCCTGGTCACAGGAGCTAAGCAGGGACTGAGGGCTGCTTCCAGGAAAGGGAGAAATGGACAGACCTGGCAAGGAATCTGCACCAGCTGGGTCAAGCCAGCCACATGCCTGAAAGTACCACACTCACAGGCTGCAGATCTATAACCCCCGGTGACAAGGGAACCCCAAGCCTCCCCACGCACACGACGGCGGCGCTGCAGGGCCGTACTTAGCCTGCTTGCTGAGCAGTGTGACGTTCACGTTCCCAAGCACCAGACTCAGGTACAACCTGGGGAGAGAGCAGAGGTGTTCAGGTGGGAGCCTGCACAAAGCTGCCCGTGTTGCGGGCCAGGCACAGCTATCACCTTTCCCACCACGTCCCGTGCTGCTGATGGGCACCACATCCCCTGCCCAGCCATTTTCCACCCAGAGCTGCTCAAGGGCAGCAGGAGGACGCAGAGAGTTGGGCTGGCTGCTGCCCAGGCACCTGCAGGTGACCACGGGGCTGTGCCTAGTGGTGGTGCAGCTGCTGGGACCCGGTGCAGCACGTCATAAGGTTTCACCCAGGAGGAGCCCGGCGCCTACAGACCCCAGCTGTGCTGCCTGCTCCTGGCAGAGAGACCGTCCTCACGCAAACATGGGGCACCTCTCACCCGTTCTTCTTTGGCAGGTAGGCCTCCATCTCGAAGAAAACATTCTGTCTCTCTTTGATCAGGCTCTGGATCTCTTGCATGGACTCTCGCTGTTCGGGACTCACGTGGGTCTTGCATCTGGGGAGGAAGAGCGGGCACTGGCATCAGGATCGGCTCCGTCACAGCATGAGCACGTGCTGGCACTTGATACGGTGCTGTGCTGGGACAAGGGCACCCCAAGGACAGCAACAGCAAACTGGAGGCGAGTTCCATCTGCGGGGCAGGCAGAGGAGCTGCCGGAGGGAAGGGAGTGGGAGGGAAAGCACAGGGAGGACGGGCAGCTCGTCCCATCGCCAGGAAACACAGGCAAGACTTCGAAAGCACAATTTGGAAAGCAAAGCTGAGGAAGATGTGCCAGGGTACACCCAGACCTCAGCAGCTTTTTGCTAACATCTGTGCTGCCCTGAGCAGGGTCCGACAGCCCTGCCCTGGCAGCTCTTCCCTCCCAGCACCCCAACTTACTTCTTGAGGGACAGGGACAGTTCCTTCAGCCGCTTCTTCTGCCGTGTGATGCAGCTGGAGATCCCATCCTGCAGCTTGGTCAGCTCCTCCAGCTTCTGCTTGTACAGCCTGTGGTTATCCTGCAAATGGGAGCAGTGTGTGCTGCAGGTACACACTCCAGCAGTGCACAGAGCCCTCAGTGCACGCCTGTCCCACAAGAACACCCCCAGAACCACAGTGCTCTGAGCCCAGTGAGGAACTGCAGCAAAACAGAACGGCAACAGCCTCCGTGCTGCTGCTTGGAAATATCTTTAAGCAGAAAACCAGGAGTGCAGTGTGTGGAAACGATGCAGCTGCATCTGTAACTTCAATGCACATCAGGGTGGGGAACAGAGCAGCAGTCAGACAACGCAGCGGGCAGCCAGGTGTGTTTGGGGAGCCCATCCCCAGCTCTGAGTGCATTACCCACTGTAAAGGATGAGTTCCGCACGGCACATCCAGCAGCAGGCTGGGCGCTCGGCTGCCTCGTCTCAGGGCTGTGGAACCCACAGCTTTGCTCTCCAGTTGTGACACCATGAAAGAGCCACACAGTGCTGGACCGGGGTACAGTCAGGGGCTGGACCCAGAGGTGGTTTTGCTGCCGGCCCCGCATGGGACCGGAGAGCAGAGCTCTGTGCCTGCTGCCCACAGCTCACCCTGGGGGATGCCGCTGGCCCCGCTTGCCGCCGTAACCCAACCGCACCTGGGTGACACCAGATGCCATTCTTCTGCTATATTTAGAAGGGAAAGAAGAGACCGTGCTATGTCAATATTCCTTCTGGTCCTGTCAGCTGAAAAACAACCTCACCTCGACCACAGGCAGCCCCAGAGCCACCAAGGAACAAAGCGCTGCTTGCAACAACCCTTGGACTAGACCTTGGTGCGCGCTCCTTTCAGCCTCCGCAGTTCTTATCGGGGACTTTATCAGCAGATGTCAAAGCCTTTCCCAAAGGAGAAAGGTGAAAGCAGATACAGAGGAGGGAGAAAACAGTCTCCCTCAGGTGTCCAGCAGTGAGGTGGGGACGAACCCAGATCACCCGGCAGTGACTAACGCCCGAGGTGGGATGCCCCCACTCAGCAAACCCTTCCCTGCTCCCAGAGGAGCTCCTGTCGCTCAGGGGTCGGCCACGAGAGAGCCGGCTTTGGGCCAAGCGCTCCGTCGGAGCTCCTTGCGTCCCAGCCCGGGGATTTCGGGATGCACAGACCGGCCCCTATGGAGCAAGAGCGCGTTTCTCAGAGCCGCCCTTGCCCCAGATCTGGGCACAGCTGTGCTGAGTCCGCAACAGCATCCGCTTCTCCCCATCCCGCGGGGGTGGAGACGTAGAGGGAAGAGCTGTGAGCGGAGCCGGTCAGCCGAGCTTTCCCTCGGGTGACCTCGGCCGCGCCGATGCCTGCCCACTCACTCGCGGGGATTACACGGCGCACCCCGGCCCGCTCCTGCGGGGACGGACGGACGGACGGAGGGCGGCCGGCTGGTCCGGCTCAGTGTGCCCCCCCCCTCCCCGTGACCGGCAGCATCCTCCCGCCCCGCTCGGGCTGCTCTCCGCGCCAACAGACCCGCAGCTTCCCCACGCCACGGCCGCCCAACAGCCCCGCGATTTGCGGCCGGGCACCGAGCCCTGAGCAGCTCCCTCTCGCGCAGCCCCCGGCCCCGGTACCTGGATGCGCTGGAAGCCGTCCTGCAGCTCCTCCCACTCCCGCAGGCATTCGGCGACCGAAGCCATGGCGGTGGCGGCGGGAGGGAAGGAAGGAGGGACGGACGGAGGAGGCGGCGAACGGCCCCGGCACCGCGCTGCTGCTTCCGGGCACGCCCCCCGCGAGGCGGACCGGGGGGGCGGCTCCTGCCGTGCCGAGCCGTGCCGTGACACCCCGTGCTGTGCTGTGACACCCTATGCTGTGCCGTGACACCCCATGCTGTGCATTGATTCCCCATGCTGTGCATTGACTCCCCATGCTGTGCCATGACTCCCCATGCTGTGCATTGACTCCCCATGCTGTGCCATGACTCCCCATGCTGTGCCATCACTCCCCATGCTGTGCATTGACTCCCCATGCTGTGCCATGACTCCCCATGCTGTGCATTGATTCCCCATGCTGTGCATTGACTCCCCATGCTGTGCCATGACTCCCCATGCTGTGCCATGACTCCCCATGCTGTGCATTGACTCCCCATGCTGTGCATTGACTCCCCATGCTGTGCATTGACTCCCCATGCTGTGCCATGACTCCCCATGCTGTGCATTGACTCCCCATGCTGTGCATTGACTCCCCATGCTCTGCATTGACTCCCCATGTTGTGCCATGACTCCCCATGCTGTGCATTGACTCCCCATGCTCTGCATTGACTCCCCATGCTGTGCCATGACTCCCCATGCTGTGCCATGACTCCCCATGCTGTGCCATGACTCCCCATGCTGTGCATTGACTCCCCATGCTGTGCCATCACTCCCCATGCTGTGCCATGCCGGCCCTGCGCCTCTCAAGGATGGGATGGAGGGATGGTGGGCATCCTGGGCTTGAGGGGTTTTGGTGCTGCCAACCTAAACACGCAGTGATAGATTTTGCTCAAGGGCGTTTTTTTGTTTTGTTTTGTGCTATCAGCACAAGGAATTTGTAGTGCTGCAGGGCTGAGGGTGGTACCGACTTGAGTTTGGGGTTTCAAATTCATCTGCTGGTCAAAGTCAGGTTACTGGGTGAGCAAAAGCACACCTGAAAATGGGGAAATGCGGTGTGTCCCTGGGCTGCAAGTCCACACTCCACATCTGCCATCCAAGGCCATGGGTCAGTGAACTTTCTCAGTAGGACGAGAGGTGATGGCCTCAGGTTGCACCAGGGGACGTTCAGGTTGGATATGAGGAACAATTTCCTCTCCAAAGAGCGGTGCTGCAGTGGCACAGCTGCATGGGGAGGGGGTTCACCATCCCTGGAGATGCTCCAGAGCTGTGGGGATGTGGCACCGAGGGACGCGGGCAGTGGGCAGTGCTGCTGGGAGGTGGACGTTGGACTGATATCCTAGAGGTCTATTTCCAATCTTAATGATTCTACAAATCTCTTCAGAGAGAACCCCAACAACCTCCCTAGCTGGGGCAGAGAGAATGCCCAGTAATGTGGCCACAAGCCCCCTAACTTACAGGAGAGGCAAGCTGTGCAGTGGGCCATAGCCTGCAGGTCTTGCTCTCCCCAAGCCCACATCCTTACCAGCATCCCTAACAGCTCCAAATATGGACTCCATTTATTAAAGCTGAAGATAAAAACTTATAAAAAATTATATAACAGCAATGTCAACAGAGTTGAGTTCACTTTCTACCTACAGAGGAGGCAGTGGGGCAGACAAAGAACCATCCTTTCCCCTGCTCAGTAATTGGGTTCAGAGACATCAGTGATGGTGGTCCCATAGATTTGAGCCTCCCAGTCTGAAAGCTGTTTCACAAAACCCCGGTGTGGTCTCACGTTTGTTTTGCATTTCAGAACGTGGTTCCAAGCTTTCTGAAAAGAGAAAGCAAAGAAGTGTTAGAAATAGGAGCTGAAAATGAATTTCTTGTATTTATACCAAGCAGCTCTGCTTGTGAACAAAACAGCTTTGTGTTTGCTCCCTGGGATGGACTTTGGCAGGCAAGTCTCTGGCTGCCAAACTATGGACAGATGGGATCCAGATGTGAACTTGTGAGAAGCCTTTCATCTTTTCATCCTGCTTTCCTGAGCACAAGGACAGCTCAGCCTTCTCTCGTTAGCTGGCACGTATCTTGCATCGTTTGACACCAATGGAGAAATGCAGTCCTGGATTTTCTCCTCCAAACAGCTAATTCCTTCACAGATGATAAGCAGAACAGCAATGTACAGCAGAACAGCAATGTACAGCAGAACAGCAATGTACAGCAGAACAGCAATGTACCAGCTCTTTGCACACAAGGGACAAAGGTTATCATCTTTCTGAACTACTGCGGTGTTCGTGTGGCAGATGTCGATGTGGCAGAGCAGCTGTTAAACTCCAGTTATCCATGTTAATTACAGCCATCTTAATGATCTGCTAGGCCCATGGAATCAGGTAGGGATTCTGCTACACGCAGGGCAGCTCCACCAGCGTTACACTGCTTTGCTCTTGCTACACCCCTGGATTTCCCCAGTAGGGCTCATCTTCCTGCTTCTGAAAGTCCCCCAGCAATCAGAGCATTGCATAAGCACAATGAGACCAAAGGTTACAAGATAGCATTCCATGGATTTGTTTTTCTCATCTCAGCAATTCTGCAGGCTCTGATCTTCCAGTATTTACTCCTCTGTGCCCGTGTTCTGCGTGTCTGAGCTTCCCCTGAACTCCACAGATGTATCAATTGCTAACAATAAGGGGGCACACACCCCAAATCTGTGTTTCTCATGAGATATCTCTGCCTTGGGACACTGTTGGACGTGTTAGCCTAGATTGGGAAGAATCATACAGGAATCTGTTATACTGCCTTTACCTGTAAGAAACAAACCAGTCTGACAGGGCAATCCTGCAGGAAAGCTTGGCCCAGGCCAGCTGCAGGAGACCACTGCACCTTGCAAAGTGCTGGGACCAACCTGCTAGTACTGAGAGAGCCTGCAAGGATCAGCCTTTGACTTTCACACTGCTGCTGCAAATGCCTCTGGTAACTCAGCGTGCAGGAGAAAACAGCGAGGGAACAGTTATCAGTGAGCTGGAGCAATCACACCCAGCATTACTGGCAAAGCCCAAGCAGTGTCTGCTGCCCGGCTGGCACACTCAGCCTGCAATGACACTTTGGCACACACTGGTGGTAAGAGATTTCCTCTTCTGTTGCAAATGTTTGCACAGAATCAATTAAATGATGAGATACAGGCCCACCTTCAGTGAGGTGTGAGTCAGTCCTTTCCAGCTTCCAAAGGAGGTCACACAAAGGAGGATGAGATTTTTAAGGAGAAACCTTTTGGTTTTCATAGGGAAGAAGTCTGGTCTGTGCCAAGCAGGCACCACAGGCCACTGCCTACAGCAGCACTGTGCCCACGTGTTGTATGCAAAGGGAAGAATGGGCTGGCTTTTGGGGAGAGGCCAGTAGTCTTTCCACACCTCTGGGTCATTTTCAGCCTTCCTTTGTTATTTTTCTTATGTTATTCAGAGCACTGGAACAAGATGTACTGTTCTTTTAACCTGTACGTCCCTTGTGGGCTAGTATTATCCTGCTCCAGATTTCTTTATGGTAATGTCTGTGGGAGGGATTGCTTCTTAGGAAATAAAATGGTTTCAGACAAAGTGGGTGCTGGTGAGCACAGTGGTAAATCAGAGCTCTGCAAACACTGGGGTATGAATTGCCCTGTAACCCCTGGTATCAGGAGATGGGATTAACTTCATAGCTTCCAGATACTCTTTACCTCAGAGCGGGAGAGCCATGATCTGTAACCACTGCTTTGTTTTCACAGCCCTGTGGGGCTGGATTTCCCTATTAAGCAGGGAAATACAGGAACATCACAGGTGCCAGCTAAGGACTCGCAGATCCAAAATCACACCTATGCCACCTCCGTAATGATATCAGGAAGATCCAACAGATGTAAGAGAATCTCTCACACTACCAGGTGGGCAGTCTGCACGAACACACGGATGAGTTCTTTCTCATCACTGCAGTAATGAGGCTTCAGGAGCAGAAATAAACTGCAGGTTCAGCCAGTATCTGTGGGAAGGATGACAGTGATGTACCTTCAGGGAAAACTGGAAGGAATGCATAAGATAGGCCATGGTTACTGTGCTGCTCCGGCTTATCCCCAGGCTAGAGAACACCAGCACTGCTCCGAGATCCAGCTGGGTGTCTGCATAAAGGAACACCAATCACAAATTAGTGATCTGGGAAATCAAATTGCCAATCATACAGCAGAGCTCTAGTTCAGTGAAAACTGGCAGGCTGCTAGCCTGAGAGACAGGAACCATCATTAACCCTGATAGGAACAGATGTGCACTGCCAGCTCTTGTTTCTTTAAGCATCTGCCTTTCTTAAAACCCCACTGAGTTAAGAAGGAGCTTTGAGGACCAGAACCAAATGACAACGACCAGTCGGTGCTTCATGACAGATCAGTGTCAACTTCATGTCAGATAACTGCGACGAAAAGTGGCCTGCCATCACCCATCAGCTGTGGTCGGCATCACATCAGCGACTCAAACTCTTCCAGATAGGTTTAAAGATGACAAAATTTCTGTTGAATGCAAACCTAACTGTTCTGCACTCAAGCTGGAGGAATCAGCTCTCAAACTGATGGACTCAGGCTGCCCTTATCCCTTGCTCTCTACACCTGCCTGAAAGGAGGTTGTGGTGAGGTGGGAATCAGCCTCTTCTCCCAGGTAACAGCAATAGGACCAGAGGGAATGGCCTCGAGTTGCAGCTGGAGAGGTTTAAGTCAGATATTAGGGAGAATTTCCTCTCAGAAAGAGTGGGCAGGCATTGGAATGGGCTGCCAGGGATGGGGGAGTCACTGCCCCAGAGGAGTTTAAGGGCAGATGCAGTGTTTGGGGCCATGGTCAGTGGGCAGCAGTGGTGGTAGGTGGATGGTTGGACTGGATCATCTTTTCCAACCTCAGCAATTCTATGGTTCTGTGGGGATCAGCGTGTGCACACCAGGCAGGGCGCTGGTTTCATGATGGTGTGGATGATTTGCAGTGAAAATTATGAAGATCAGCAAACTCTTTTTCAACCAAAGCAAAGCCCACTTGGCTGAGAATGCTGTCACTCACTGTTCACCACATCAACTCTGCCACCTATGCATGAACAGCTCTGTAATTTATTAATAACTCTTTTAATGCTTTCCTTCCCTCTCCAGAACAGATAGCACGATGTGTTTTTGGAATATCAGCAAGTGCACTGTAGAATTTGTAGGGCAAAGCTGCTTCTACTGTTGTCAAGAAGCTGTTGGGGTTTTTTTCAAGCACTAAAACACAGTTTCCTCTCATGAGGTAGGGCCCAGGAGCAGAAATGCCTCAGTCCAACAGACTCCAAGCATGAGAATACCCACAGCCCTCTCTCAGGGTTTGTGGAGAGCTTTAGTGTTCACCCATAACCGTTCCACTTAAAGTAACCTACTCAAAACTTATCAGATGAACAGTATGCACAGTATCCACAGCTAACAAACTCTAAGAGTCTGTGCTGGAAGCTTCCACATACTGATGTAAGAAAGAGACTTCTGAAATACTGCTGCAAAAAGAAAAGTTGAGGCATAATGAAGGATCTGCAAGTGGAGATCAACATTCTGGTTTCAATGTCGTGCAAGTCATGAAATTCAGATTAGGACAAGAGATTATATCCAAATTATATCCACACCTATCATTTCCTTGTCTCTTCGTGTCCAGTTGTTACTACTTATTTTGTATTTGGATTATACTGTCTGAAGGAACAGACCGATCTGCTTCTGGGTCTGCATGACTTGTGGAGCAGGGCTTTGGTCTGTGGCAGATGCTATTTTGTAAGTGTGATAGAAGATGAAGGTGCTGTTGAACACCATCATAGGATAAGGCTGCAGGAACTGTGTCTGCTGTGCTGTTGCAGGTGCCGAGCTGGTAAATTTTTCTTGCCCTCTCTGATACAATGACCTGAAGGCAGGTTCATGCTGTCCAAACTTCAAATTGCCCTAGGCTTTATGGTGAGTCAATCCCACCAGTCCCAAGGATTCAGAGCATTTTGCAGTAAGTTCTCCCATGTGTGTCACACTCCTGTTTGGTGGTTGAAGATTTGGTGGTTGGAGATTTGGGCTGGTAAGAATCAGAGGGCTGTATTTAAAAATAGAGGAACAGGGGGACTCTTATGCAGCTCTGGCAGACATCCTACAGCAAAGCCTTCTCACACCTACTGCAAAACTCTCTACTGTTGCTGAGTGACTATTCTTTAAAATAAGTAGGAACATTAGCATCAGATGCCCTCTAAAATCTTGTCTCTGTCCATCAGTCTGGTTACTGAGGCAGCTCTGGTATCCATTAGGATGTGGGTAGTTTGGGAGTACACTGATCTTCGAAGGTAATGACCTGAGCTTCCTGTTGGAGTGAATTGCAGTCGCTCCATTTTAATCTCCTAGAGTGACTGAGAGCTCAGGAATTCCAAATCAGAAACAACTCACCAATGAAATGACAAATTGTCGAAAAGGAAGAAAAAAGATCTGCTTCAAGTGAATCTGGAACAGATATATGGAGGTATTTGCCTTCTTCTGCCCACCTGTAAAAAGAGCACGTAGCATTACGTGGACCAGCGAAGCAACTATGGGACAAAAATTGTTTGTTGGAGGCAAGCTGATAATTTTGTTTGCTGTTACATGTGTGATTTTTCATCATTTCATTACTAACATTATGATAAGGAATCGTTATGGTAAAACACTAAGGCAGAACCAGTTTAATTACTGATTTTCCATTTACCTGGTACTAGTACTCATGCCTTAACTTTATGCTACAGCTTCCTTTATCTGAGAGCTACATGCAAACAGATAAACTGAAAGCAAGCATGCCTTTGCAGCATGCATGTTGGCAGTCCTGTCAGCAGAGATCCCTGCTTCACTTCAGCTGTTTTCTTCCACAGCATCCTCCTCCTTCCAGAAGCTCAGAGAATTCAACACAGAGAACTAATGGGACAAACTGAAACGTGGAAGCGTGACAGAGTGGAAAGTGCCAAGGGCTCCCAGTCCTTCTCTCACCCAGTCCATCCATGTCATGGCAATTGGCTGAAGGAAAGCACTGGTGCCATGCAGGTAGAGATCACAGAACTCAGTGTGAAATAGCACCCAAATCTGCTGTGAAAAAAAAAAACAGTTCTCCTTCAAAGTTTACAGGCACTCACTCCTATGCTACCTCACTTTTTTCACAGGCACAGATATTGGGAAAAATATACCCTGAACAACTTACAGCGTTGCAGGCTGTTCAGAAATGTTGACTCGTGCTTTGATCTTCAAATCTTTCTGAATTTGTTGGTCGCAGGCCTGCTTGAAATTGCCCATGTATAACTTTCCAGGCAGTATTTCTACAGGGTACGGCTGGAAGTTGTTGAGTTCCTGCAAGGAGAGAAGCTGTGGGCTCACTTTAGAGTATAGTTGCTCCTTTCAACTTGGTGAGCTCTTAAACAGAAGTCATGTGCAAAAATGAAGACACATTCAGTCAACAACATTCAAGTGCAATGATTCGTTCAATCTCCTGGATTTTCTGAAGCGTTGAAGCATTCGCTAGGTTTACTGAGCATAATTAACAAAAATGTTTTCATTGTGGCATTACTTGAAACCAATCCTAACTAAACAAGTGGAAGAATACATTTGTTGCAGTGTCTCAAGCAGCGTAGAAGATTCATTTGAAATCTGGTTGCTGTTCACCAAGCTAAATGAAGCCATTCGCCACCTGCAGAGCTGCAGGTGCAATGTAGTGGCACAGCACAGGTCTGCAGCTATTTCTGCTCTGTGCAGCATAAGGGCTGATGACAAAAACACACAAGTAGCTGACGGTGCTTCTACATCCATAATTGATACTCAGTAACGCTACACCAGAACCAAACAGCTCAATAATTCGAAGCAATGGAGAACAGCTTCAACAGAGTGCTTGCTTTGTGATCCTTCCAAAGGGCTTTACAGACATGAAACAGTGTTTGATAGATGTCAGACCTCTGCCTGAAAACACTCACTGGGTAACAGCTCAGATAACTGCATATAAAGGAGAGTAAACTGGAACCTGCCTTCTTTGTCATCGTTTGCTACTGTTTGTTCTGTTATCTGGACTCTCCAGTAGGCCAGCTTCAGGGTTATCAGAGAAAGCTTCCCTGGTTGCTTCATGAGCTGTATTTTCATGCAATAGAAGAAGAAAAAAAAAGGCAAAGTGTGGCTGCAGAAGAACTTGTGGCGACACCTGGGGCAAGCACGGTAACTCAGATTACATTTAGTTCCTTTGTTTGAAATTACCCTGATATCGGGTTTACAGCACCACCCACCTTGAATTCATTAATCATCATCAGTTGAACATGAAGGTTCAAGTCTTCTATTCGCAAGTCAGTCTCACCTGAGGCATCCACAGTATCTTCTGAGTCCTCAGGAAGTGGTAGCAAGCTGAGAAACGTTTGTATCCTCCCCTGAGGACAAGCACCGGATGGCGGCTGAACTGCTGCAAGCTGCTGGCGTGTCGGGCAGCAGTTCCTTCCTCGGCATCTAGCGAGAGCAAGAAGCAATTTGCTGGGGCGGGTTTGGTGTGCCTCCAGCGGCACTGCAGGCTGAACCCGGCCCACTGGCACTCACAGTGAGCTCCTTTTCATTTCATCTGATGGGCTGTTAAAGCCCCGTTAAAAGCTGGGCTGATTCAACTGTTGCTTGAGGACAGTCACAAGGAATGCTGCTGTTCACCTCTAGCGCTGATCTTTTATTCCTCTCCTGGTTTCTTTTGTAGGACCAGATCACGCTTTTGTTTTCTCCCCACTATTCTTTGGGAAATGCTTGCAATAACTTCCCATATTAGGAAGTACTTAAGTATAAATCTAATTTTAGTTGTATGGATCCCCTTTTCTTTATTCTGCTTTAGCCAAGGTGAACAAAGCAGGAATCCTGAACAACTTCTGAAGAAGTTTCAAACGCTCCCCTCAGTAATTACACAAGATGGTTGCTCCTCCTCCTCCTGTGTGAGATCCAAGTTGCCTGCAACTGTGCCTGCTTTAGGAACAGACCAGCAAAACAGAAGCCTGCTTTGGTTTCTTCACACCTTCCCTTGTGGAACACCTTCCTACAGGATGTGTTACAATTACACATTTCCACATGGGTCAAGGAAGGCTGAACAACTGCATGAAAGTTTCCAGCTCTTTGCATTTCGCAGTCAACTTCTTCCCATCAGCACCACTAAAGCTAGGTCCTCTTAGATAGGATAAAGGTGCTTTGTAATCCTCAAAGAAGGAAGTACTTGCTCTGTGAACATGAGGAACCTGACTCAGTGTTCAGTTTCTGAAGAACCATTGCTTCCTGAAAGGCAATTGTTGGACAAGCCCAATTTCAGTGTGATGTAGAAGAAAAAAAATTAGAATTTGTTCCTTACATGCAACAAAGAACTTCAATTGGATCACATAGGAAACCAGGCCTGCCAGAAATCTTTGAAATAAAATCATGCTTTATGTTTAAGAACATGTGCAACACAGTTAAATAACAAAGTTACAGCATGGATGTTCATTTTGTTCTGAATAGAATTGGGTAAATTTGCACTTTGTCCAGTAAGCTCACAGAAGTAAATGAGGAGGAGGAAGAACATCCATCCTGCTGAGAGGTTTTGACTGACGTGAGCCACGTGTACCTTTCTCTTTTTCCTCTTCCTCAGAGTCATAGAAGTCCAAAGAGCTGCTCATACAGTCATACACCACGCAGTATCTGACACATGCCAGTTCCTCAGGATCTGGCACCAGATACTCCCCTGTAGGGCTCTGAAAAAAAAATCACAGAAGACTTCCATGGGGAGTACAACATCACACTTTTCTTGCAGCACAATCGACACAGTGAACAGATCTGGGGCTGCAGCTGCACTTCATTCTGAAAGACCCGGGTAGAACTCAGAAATCACACAAACCACTTCAGATTGCTTCATCAGCTGCAGTGGTAGAGATGCCTGTGCTGCCCTTTATGAGACAAGCCAACACTGCGTCAGTTCTTGTGCAATATTTTTCCTGCTATACAACTTCAGCATGCCAATTCTTTGGGCTACTGAGGCCAGTTTTTCTGTCTTTGTGAACACCCCAGTGGCAGGAACATGGCTGGGACAGGCTGGGGAGAGGTGAGGACAACTCCCTTGGTTCCTAAACCAGTTCTGTGTTACTGCTTAATTGCTAAATCCAGAGATGGTTTACACAAAGTATAGTCCCTCCTCACCTGTTCAATCCTGCGTGCTGTAATGATGTGGCTTTCATTGTACTCATGAAGAGTGCGGGCATCTGAAAAAAACAAAACAAAACAAAACCCACCACTCAATCAAGACAAAGCAATTGGCTTATCTGATATTCATGTGGCAGTATCCTGTTCTTCATTTGTTTGGTGGGAATCCAAGCACCAGCATAACAAGAGAAAGAGATTCTGCTTCTTTGCAAGTGAGGCTTTCCAAATGGATATAACAAACCCTGACACTGATGTGAGTCTGAACACGTGTAGCACCAGGGGATGCCCACAGCCACAGCTGCCATGCTCACAGACCTGGGGAGGCTGTAAGGGGAACAGTGGGAACCTCCTCCCCTGCTCCCAACTGCTTGATCGCCAGCCTAAACACACTGCAACACACGGCTCCACCTGGGGGTGCTGGCACTGTGAAGGATACAGATGCTTAGTGATGGCCAAGGGCTGCCTGTCAGCACTGCCACCTCTGGGTGGCAGAGAGGGGAAGATGCAACTTAAGCCAGAATTTACATAGGCAGAAAGCTCACTGCTCCCCACTGTGGCAATAAGTGCCACACACCGCTGCTTTCTGCTCTGTGTGAAGGGCAAAGGAACAACAAGCAGTGCTGCTCCATGGAAAAAGGGCGGCAGAAATGCCCCAACAGCAAGGACTCGTGGGTGGTGAGAAATCCCTCCACCAACGCTCACAGGCCACATTCCTGAGGAAAGCAGCCCCGCTCCTGCCAGCCACCCCGCTGTGCTCCACGGGCTCACCCAGCAGGATAAGGTAGTTGGGCTCGGACAGCCTGGGGAAGCGGCGGTGCTGGTTGAGGATGTTGTAGAGCTCGGTGGGCTCGCAGAGCATCACCCCCGCCATGCCTCGCACCAGGCCCGGACCTCTTCGCCCTTGTTGCTATGGCAACGCAACCGCCTCGTTGCTATAGAGCGACACCGCTCTGCAAATCTCGCGAGACTTCCTCGGCAGCTCAGCGGAGAGAAAAGAGAAGGTGGTGTGAGACGAATTCACGCGAAACTTGATATCGCGAGATCTGTAGCCGGCCGGCGCATGCGCGGCGCCGTGGAGGTCGTTGGAGTCACAGCCGTCGCCATGCTGTCCCGCCTCGCCCGTCCCGCCGCCGTCCTGTGCCGCGGCCTGGCCACCAGCGCCCAGGTACGAGCCTCGGAGATGAGAGGGGATCCGAGGCGTTGGGTGCCTGCTGGGAGCCGGCAGGGAGAGGAGGCCTAGGGGCGAGGGGCGGCCCGTGGGGTGCTGAGGTGAAGCTGAGGAGGGCTGCGTGGGTCTGTGTGCGGGGGGGTGGGGGCTGAGGGCTGAGCTGCGTGGGGCTGCGTGGGGCTGTGAGGGGCTGTGAGGGGCTGTGAGGGGGTGCGGGTGGGGGCTGTAGGTGGGGGGGTGAAGCTGTGTGGGGCTGGGGGGGCGGGGGGGGCTGGGCTTGGCGGGGTGCTGCCTGCATCTTTCTGGAGCAGAGCTGAGCAGTGATCCGTGGTGTGCAGGCATCCTGGGTCCTAGAAATGCTTGGATAGCTCTGTCAGATGTGTGGTTTGGTTTTTTGGGGTGAGCTTGTGTGGAGGCACGGCTTCACACACGTCGTTCCATGATGCTTGGGGGCCTTTCCCGTTGGGGTTATTCTCTGGTTACTTGTGGGTACTGGCCTCCAGGAGGTACTGCTTTGGGCTGGGTAGGGAGGGATAGAGATGGAGCTCTGCATTTTAAGTGAAGCAGTTTTCCTGTGGTGTGCACAGGATGGCTACCAGAGGTCTAAAGACAGGCTTTGTGGGAGAGGATTATGTAATTTAATAGGAATTATATTCAATAACAGTGAGGTTTTGATCTTAGGGTATCAGTTCGGTCATAAACACGGGGTGCAGCAGTGACTAATACTAGACTTTGCTTTCCTTTGAAGAGTTTTGTGCTAAATTGTATTTCTTGCAGTAGCAAGGATGCTGAGCTGAGTGCAAATTGATCTAGCTTGTGGGTGGATTATTTATTATGCTGTGAATTATTATTAAGCTAATAATTAAGCTGTTCCTGCAGTGAGCTTGGAGCAGTTATACTTTATCTGGGAGGACGGTGATACAGAGTGGCAGTAGCACCTTCCATCTCTGCAGTAGCCTCTGGTCCTCCATCAGTTTGGCAGAACATTACAGTTCACAGTTTTTCTGATCTTTTCAGATAGCTTTCCTTACACTGCGGGCACAGGGGGGTCATCAAAAGAAACAGCTTTCTTCCAGAGAGCACAGCTGGGTACAATTGGTTCACAGGGCAACAAAGCAGGGTTGATTTTTTTTTGCTTGCTTGCTTGTCAGCTGCATTTAATCAGTAATTTAATGTTCTCAGGGCTCAATTTTGAGGCAGTTGCAGGTATGATTTTATTTCAGGCATAGACATTTTCTTCACGTACGTACAATAGCTGTTACATTTACTGTAGTCCATTAAATGTATTGATTGTTTTCAAATGGAAAGGCTTTTTGTTTTTTTTTTTTTATAATAGCTTTGAAAACTGGAAAAAAAATTGCAACACTCATTTTGCTCTGAATGAGCTGGATGTCCACAGGAGCAGGTATTAGTCAATAGTCTGCAGCTGAGGAAGGCTGATCCTGTCAGTGCTCTGCCTGATGCTGTGTGAGCTTCAGAGCACAAAGAACGCTTTTGTCCTTCTTGTCCAACCAGCAAATCTCAAGGATCTTTGGGAAGCTGTTGTGGTGATGGCTTTCTGTGGGCTCAGGCAAGCAAATTTGCGTGGTGCTTAGTAAAGAAATTGAGAAACAGAACTAAAAGTAAAGAAAGCGTGGTGAAATCCCCAAGGTCACTTCTGCATTAAGTAGCCAAACAACTCATCAGCATGGTTTCTTATTTCTCCTTCAGAACAATGCCAAGGTGGCAGTGCTGGGAGCATCAGGAGGGATTGGGCAGCCTCTGTCCCTTCTCCTGAAGAACAGCCCTGCGGTGAGCAGGCTCAGCCTCTATGATATCGCACACACCCCTGGCGTTGCAGCTGACCTCAGTCACATCGAGACAAGAGCGAATGTGAAAGGTATGGTGAGTGGCTGGGGGTGGACTTGGTGCATGCAGAGCTTGCAGGATCCCCTCAGGTGTGTGTGGTGTTTGGCAGGGCCTGCTCTTGTACTTCATGTGGAGGGAGGCTTCGCATCAGCCCAGCGTCAGCTGAAGCAGCTTTTTTTCCTCAAGTGATGCATGACTAATTAAGGCTTACTTGATTAGATTGGCATGTATGGAGATGAGAAATAGTCTGTGGTTGTTGCACAGTTGGAAGAGAATTCATAATAGCTGGCAGGAAACATTTAATAAAGTCATATCAGGGAAAAGCCTGAGTATTGAATTTAAAATCTTGGCTTTAAATATCCCTAATGCTCCTGGGGCATCTGTGTGCATTGTATGTGCTTGTTTTCTTCAGAGGCAGCAATCAATTTTTGATGAAATCGAAGAATACTTCATTTGCTGATCTTCATTTTAGTTGAAGATCACTAAAAGGTTGTGCTTAGCTTGAATGTGCCCATCTGCAGTTCTGGGGGCACTGAGTCAGCTAGGACCTTTGGTTATGGGTACAGAATGGAGTGACTGGCTACGTGTGAAACGTACAGCATGCTTCTTATCCCACTTATTCTGTGGGCTTTGAAAGCCAGAGCATCAGATCCATCCATCCATAATCTCATTGCTTTGCTTCTGAGTGTGGATTGAAAGCTAAATTCAGAATTGGTTGTCTTGAGGCTTAATTTCGTTCTTCAAACTGGCAGTTATTTAAAAACTGGTGAAAGCACAACGTCTAAAAATCTTCCATTCCAGGTTTCCTGGGACCTGAGCAATTGCCAGAATGTTTGAAGGGCTGTGATGTTGTAGTGATCCCTGCAGGAGTCCCTAGGAAACCAGGTATGTTCTCCACGATAAAAAGCCCCAGGGCTTCACTGAGTGCATCTCTGCAGAGCTGCAGTACGTTCCAGGAGGCTGTGGTGCTGCTTTCTGGAAACGTTCTGGTTGCCTTGGGATGGAAGTGGTCTGTGAATGACCCTGACCTGGTTGTGCTTGTTGTGGTGTCAGGTACCTCAGGTAGTCACTGCTTAGATCATAAGGTGGGGAGAAACACTGATTTCTGGGCTTCTTTTGTAAGGGGGAGGTGCAAAGGCTTTTCACTGCAGTTAACCCTGAGCCTCCCCTGATATTTTTTGCCCACAGCAATACCATGTTCAAAACCTGCTTCATTGTTTCTTTTCTTAGCAGAATAGAATAGTCTGTTCTGCATTAATTGTACAGTGTCTCTGAGCATCTCTGAATCAATGCCTTTTTAGTTTCTGATCTGTTCTATTTCCACTGTTTGGGGTTTTTTTTCAGTGTACTATTGGGAATGTAACAAAAGTCTAGGCTTTAATTCATTTCTCATCCTAATTCTGCATTTCCATGGTGGCAGCCCTGCAGCTAGCAATATTCTGCACAGATCAATTAACATTCCAGCTGCTGTTGTGGAGGTGACTTCAGAGAGGGATGAATAGGCTACAGGTACTGGAAGCATTTACTGGCTGTGTTTTAGGTATGACCCGTGATGACCTGTTCAACACCAATGCCAGCATCGTTGCTTCTTTAACAACTGCCTGTGCAAAGCATTGTCCAGAAGCCATGATCTGCATTATTTCCAACCCGGTAAGCATTTTCTGGGGACCTTCAAAATGTGGAAAAGAAAATCCACTCAGAGAATACTGAAATAATCTGCAAGTTCTTGCTAGTTTTGACCAGTATCTTTGAGGTTTATGGAGTATTTGCAAGAAAACAAGAAGAAAAACTAAAAGCCTGGCTCTTGATTGTTCTTGAGATATAAGGAAATCAGATTAAACTTGTATGTAGAAGGAATTGATATCTCAGCTTCTCTCTGACTGGTTATTATACATACTGCTATAGTTACTGTCTCACTGGTTGCTTAAAATAAAAAAACTTGTTCCAGCTTGCCTGTAAGTTGTTCTTACTGTGAAGAATTGGCTGATTACAGGTGACTTAAAGCTGGAGATGTGATGTTTATTGTCCTGTTCATTTCATGCATTGGTTTTGTTCTGCTCCTGTTCTCGGTGAACGCTTGCATGTTTTTGCCTGCAGGTAAATTCAACCATCCCCATAACTTCAGAGATTTTCAAGAAGCACGGCGTGTATAATCCTAACAGAATCTTTGGGGTAACAACTCTGGACATTGTCAGAGCGAATACTTTTGTGGCTGAGCTGAAGGTAGGCTGTAGTGATGGGTGCTGGGGAAAGGATGTCGTGTGCTGCTGTCATCAGTTGTACCAAAACGCTTCTAAACGTCACAGTATAGAGCTAAAGTAGCTCAGATTGATGCAGAGCTGGAGCTGAAAGCAATGATTCCCTGCAGAGGAGCCTGGGGATTGGGTTTCTTACAAAACCTACTTGCAGAGACTTTGACCTTTCCTTTCGTCAGCCTCCCCTGTGAGTGAGCTGCATGTTGGCCCTCATTCTCTTGGCACTTTCAGCCCTGCTGGTGCAACTGGAGGAGAGGGGTTTGCAGTATATCTTTGCAAGTCATGCTGTCTGTGCTGCTTGTAGGATATTCTGTGTGGTATCAAACAGGGTGTGAAGGCTTCACTGCTCTTAATAGCCCTGGTGGAGTTTGTACCTTTGCTGCTGTTTATCTGAACTTGCATTGATATTATTCTGTGACTGAAGTTATCAGGATGAATAACTTGGAGTTGGACTGTATTGATGGCACTGCCCTCGTCGCTGCCCCTGAAATTTCTGGATGTCAGGATACTGAGAGCAGGAAAAATGTGGTTTTAAATGTCTTTTCTTACCTGTACATCTCAAACTGGAAAGTTTTGTGTTTCCTTTAGGGTTTGGATCCTGCTCGAGTAAGCGTTCCAGTTATTGGTGGCCATGCAGGGAAGACCATCATCCCTCTGATCTCCCAGGTGAGTCATTAACTGCTGTGTGTGGCAGCGCCTCTGCGTGTTGTTCCTCCCCACTGTGGCAGAGTTGACTTCAGGTGCCTTTGTGCTGACACACAGCAGGACAGGCCTTCCTGCCCGCGTGGCTCATCTTCAGCTGAGATGAGATGCAAGATACTCAAAGGCACAGAGCTGCTTCTGAGCTCCTCTCAGTGGCTGGGCTAGCATCAGGTTTTTTTTTCCCTGCAGTAGCTCTGGAATAAGAACTGAGGTGTAACATGTTGTCTTGGCAGTGCTTTATTTTGTCACTCGTTCTTGTGATGGCTGTTGCATGGAGTGAATGCTTTTCTTCAGCAGGATAATGAAAGCGCTTTTGATGTAATGGACTGGAATCACTTTCTCAGCATCCAGTATTGAAATGAGCAGCAGAGCTCAGGTTGTGTGGAGAGGCCTTCAGAAATGATTGGTAGAGAGGGGCTCCCTAATCCAAAACGACTTACAGTTCTAAAGCAGGCTGCAGCTGACTGAGGCGGGTGGGACGTGGCTAAGGAGGGTCAGTGGAGAAGGGACAAAAAGCTTTGCTGTAAGTGAGGAATAAAGTACCCTTCACAGAAGGACAGTCTTAGGGAGTAAGAGCAAGGGCTTTAGTGCAGCTGAATGCTGAGGGTGCTCAATCAGGGCAGCACAGCTGTGCTTAACAGACTTGTGCAGCTGTGTTTGAAGGTTCACCAGCTTCCTAAATACTGCTTGCAGACTGGATCCTCTGTAAGGCTCTTGACTTCCATAATGCCATGGTGACCCAAATATTTATCATGTGGCTTTTTGAAATTGCTTAGTGCTCGGAAGGCATCTGTCTATGCAAAGGACTACGTGGTAGCAAGTAACCAAGCCTTGGCTTTGCTGTCAGGCTGCAGTTTGTCCTTGAGTAAACTAGGCATGACTAGCTTACAGTTCATGCAACAGCCAGAAGCCTTAGTGAATGCCTGCAGCTGCTGGCCAGTCTGTCACACAATCTGTGAGCTGGGGTAGCTGATTTTCCTGCTCAAGATCTGCTCATAACAACTGTAATGGTGCAAAAAGTATCACTGGAGTGGCCTATTGAATCTGGAGAGGTCCTGGTATTTGAAAGCAACTTTTTTTTTCCAATCTAGTGCACACCAAAAGTGGACTTCCCTCAGGATCAACTGGAAAAGCTTACAGGGAGAATTCAAGAAGCTGGCACTGAAGTTGTCAAAGCTAAAGCAGGAGCAGGTTGGTTCTTGGCTACGGTTTCCAAGTAATTCTTCTTGTCCAGCTGAATGGATGCAATTTTCTTCAGCTTAATCGTATCTGCAACGGTGATGCAGAGTTGGGAATAGCTGCTTACAGCGCTGGCATCTTAACTGTGTGCTAGAAATAGCTCAGTATGTAGGTAAGCATAAAAATCAATGGGGCCCCAAACATGCATGGTATTTAAAAGTCATCTTCTCCCTCTCACTGAGCTGTTTCTTATACAATCTGCTCAGCTGTGTAGCACGTGGCTCCTGCTCTATCAAACTATCTGTGAGCTTGAAGCCACGCTCTGCAAACTCAGCAGTGTGGAAGCTTTTGACACTGAACCAAGTCTTGAATCTCAATGGAACCTGTTCTAAAAGAGATTCATCTCTTACAGGATCGGCCACCTTGTCCATGGCCTATGCTGGCGCTCGGTTTGTGTTCTCCCTGGTGGATGCCATGAATGGAAAGGAAGGGGTTATTGAATGTTCCTTTGTTCGCTCGGAAGAGACGGAGAGCCCGTACTTCTCTACACCTCTGCTGCTGGGAGTACGTGCTTCAAATGATGGGGCTTGGAAACAGCAGTTACTGAGCTATCCTTAGACTTAGTGGCTTTTATTTGGCGATTTCAATTCGGTCTAGCTGAGTGTCTCTGTAGATAACAGCCAAACATACATGTAAGAGTCTGTACCAGTTTATGAGGAGCTTTTGTGCAGTTAACTAGAGCCAGCAGCCTGGTCTCCTCACCTTGCTCTGCTGCAAACAGATCGCTCAAATTGTGGTGCATGCAGGACCGTGGCATGGATTAGGATTAATGGATTGATTTCAGGGCCTGTACTGAGCTCTGAAGGAACAATTCTTACCCTGAACAGAACGATAACCAAGGATGCTGCAGCCCTGACACTGCTGAGATGTGAATGTATTTTGTCCTGGCTGATAACTGGGGAAGGGATGGACTTAGAAGAATATAAAGGGGAAGAGTTTGGATGTATGTGTTGATATTTATACCTAAATGAAAAGTGAGTGAGAAGTTTGTGAAGGCTGTACAAACTGCTACAAATAACAAGGAGCTTTGCAGGGAATCACAGGCTTGGCAGGCAGAAGAGGTGGCAGAGGTCCTAGGGTGGGTCCCCACCTCAGCTGAACTTTAAATAATCAGAACTGTGAAATTGTTCTCCCAGTCATTCAATGGTTAATCCTTAAATCCTCTTTTCCCTCAGAAAAATGGAATTGAGAAGAACCTGGGCATTGGCAAGATCACCCCCTTTGAAGAGAAGATGGTTGCTGAGGCCTTGGCTGAGTTGAAGGCTTCTATTAAGAAGGGAGAGGATTTTGCAAAGAGCTTCAAGTGAAGAGCTGATGGAGAGGAATTCCAGCTTCCTTAATTTATTAAGGCATCATGTCACTTTACGACTTCTGATTCAGAGCTCGTGCTCTGATTGAAGTCTGTCTGTATTAGCGTAACGATTGTCGTCAAAACAAAGCCTGATCATCAATAAAATGGCCTCGTTTTTTTCAGTGTACCAGATGGAATCATCTGAATGCGTTTGTCTTTTGAAGGTAGAAGCTGCAGGTGTCTGAGAGGTTATCAGTGATAATAACTTCTTAAAATGGGTGAGCCAATTGCTAGGCCTTGTAAACGAGTGATCGCAGTGAAGAGGGCCAGTGGTTCCTTTGCAGGAGGGAAGGTGGTGGCACAGACTGACTGTGATAGGCACTTCAGGGCTAAGGAAGCCTGAAATTGCATTTAGTGCTGAAAATAGTCATGCATTTCCTCCCCAGGTCATGAGATCTTACTGGATGGCACTCTGCTGTCTGGACAGAGATGATAAACAAGAGGAGGTGCTCCAGCTTGCAAAGCTTGCTCAGCTCATCCTCAGACTGCTTTGCACCTCCCTGTGTGCTGTCACTGGTTTCTGAGCGTTGCAAAGCAAGCAGCCTTTTGAATTAAAGTTGGCATTTCAGTCCTCTGAAGCAAGCTTTTGTCTGAAGAGCTAAGTGGGGAAATTGAGCAACACCAGCACTGTGCTGCAACAGGAACTGCCTTTGAGCATCTGGGTAGGGACATTTTCTACATGGCCACCTTGTCCTGGTGCCATGCAGCTCCCAGCTCTTAGCTGTGCTGCTGCTTTAGCTTTATCCTGGGCTGCTGCTTCATCACGACAGTTGGGAGAACAGGAGTGATCAAATAAGATCAAGACAGGCTGCAGAGGCCTGCAAGAGGAGTCTGATCGGTGATCCAAACAGTTGGGTTTTCAGGAGGTTGGCACATTACTTGTGTTACCTTGTGCTGGAATCTTATGTAATTTGACTTCTAAAGGGTTGGTGAAAGCACAGTGATTTAAATGTCAGTCCTGCTGTAAGGAAATAATTAAAACGCTGAGAGTGACTTTTCTCTAGTTAGAACTAAAGCCTTGATTTAGCATCTACATAGATTTCTTTTACGTTCATCCTCTTGTGAATATAAAAATAAATGTCTGCAAGAAAATGGTGATGACAAGCTCTGTTGCCAAGTTCTTTGAAGGTAAGCTTTAATGAAGGAAGCTATTAATTCAATCTTCCTCCGTGCTCTGGGGGCTGCTTACCCTATTGCTTCAGATTGCTCTAATCCACGTAGGTTGAATTCCAGGCTCTGTTTTGATGAGCTGAAGGAAGCAGCGAAGCCCAGCGCCTCTGGGTGAGCTGGGGGTGCGAAGGCAGTAGGACAGAGGCAGTAGGTGCTGTGTGGTCGCTGGCTTTGTTTCCTCCTGCTTTCTGTGTTCCAAGTCTTCTGACACTTGTGGAATGAAGCACTTGGCTCTGTGGAACGTGTGGGCAGAGTGAGGACAGCAAACGCAGTCCTTGTCCCTCCTACCTGCAGAGCTGTGATGTGTGAAGTCCTGGTATCTTTGCATAAATAGTAATGAACTGGAAGCGTCGGCACTCGTTACTCAGCAGGCTTGGAACAAAGTAGTTATTAGATGGTATTAATAGAATAAAAGAGCTAAAGATCATTGGGGGGGAGGGGGGCAGGGAAGGATGCAGAGGAGCGACAGAGCTGGGCGTTGTGCTCACAGTGAGAAGTGGGAAGTGGTGCTGGGTTCAGAGCTGTGGTTTCTGCAGTGAGATACGAGGAGCAGGACATTGGCTGGAGCTGAACTAACTTCTGTAGCTGCCCCTCATGCCGACCTCTGGCCTGGCACTGGGTAACAGTGGCCAGGGTGCAGGGAGATGCACATTGGGAGGAATGGCTGCAGCAGTTCCAGGTGGCCAGGTGTCAGCTCACCCCATCCTGCCTGCTGCTTCCACACCGCTGCTGTAACAGGGTGGAGTGCAGCAAGAGAATAAAACGGGGAGGAAAGGTGGTGGTGAAGTGTCTCGCTCTGCTATTTCCTTGCCTTGGTCCTGGGAGGCTTTGGGTTGAAAGAACCCAAGGAGGAGACTGCAGGCTGACAGCCTTCACCCACGTTTATTGCTTCCCTGCATCACGGTGGGGTGCTGGCACCTGTCCCCGTGTGAACCCAGCCTGCGATCTCACACGGAGGGTGGATTTTAAGGGCAGATGGATGGGAATAAGTGCTGCTGCCATATCCGTGTCCATAAGGAGCTTTAATCCTTTCGGAACATCCGTCCCTAAGCTGGTGCCTGGTGACCCTAAGCCTCGCCTGTCCCCAGGGATGCTCCGGGAGATGGCAGCAGCCTCTTGTCTTCGGGCAGGCCTGGAATGCAGTGATATTTAGGAAAAGCAGGGCAATAGTGGGAAAAACTTGGGAGGAAGCTGCCTGGGCTGGGCTCTGTGCTTTATGTGCACCATCTTCAGCTCATGGGAAAGTGAACAGGGAGAGGAAAGGGGTTGGAAGGGTGATGCCAATGGGTTAAGAGTGCGTGCTGGATGGCTGTGGTTCCAGCCTTGCAGAGGCCTCTTGTACTCCCCCTGTTCTCCTGCATGGCCGTGGGCACCGCTGAATCACTGCCTCCAAGCAGACTGGGAGCACAGCACTGAGACAGGGTGGGTTTGTTTGCATTTGTGGGGAAACCCGTTAATAAAGGGCACAGAAGGAACTGCTCTTTTCCTGGAACAGATGGCGGATAAGGCAGCAAGATCAGCATGCAGGGCTCCTGCTGGGGGCTGAGTGCTAGCTAGGAGGGTTGGTGTGCTTGTGGTGCCCCGTCCCCTGCTACACCCATCCCTGCATGCCCTACCCCTGGCTTTTTTGCACGTTTGGCTTTTCCTCTCCTGCTGCTGTTGGAGGATGCTGAGCCCCTCCTCATGTGTGGGGATGGGGCTGAGCCGCAGTGTGAGCTCCACAATTAGGCCCATTCCTCTGTCGCCTCATTTGATCTCCCTTAATTATTTATCGTCTTTTTCCTCCCCGATCCCTCAGTTCCTTTCAAGTGCTGAATTCCTTCTGTCCCCCCCCTTCCTCCCCCCCAGCTGCAGCAAGCTCTGCCTTCTGCTCTGCAGCAATTACAGTCCCTTCTCCCCACTCCTCACACATCTCTCTCCTTTTGTTCTCCCCATCCTGCAAAACCAAATCCACCCCCAGTCCCCAGGATGCTGCAGAAGCTCTCTTGCCCTATGTAGGGTCTCCCCACATTGCTTTTGCTGCCATCCTCTTTGTTTCCCAGCCCCGATGTGTTATTCAGCACTGCAGGTGTTGGAAGAAGAGCAGTGATGCGTGCTCACCCTGGGGGTTGTGGGGTGTTCCCTGCATGGGCTGCTTCCCTCTTTGCTACTGAAAAAGGAGAGACACCAACTGTGGGGGGGGGGGGTTCTCACCATGCAGCCACTCCTCATGCCCCATGTGGTGCAGAAAGGGGGAAGCATAGAGTACAGCCCCATAAGAGCAGGCTGGGGATCCAGTGTGGACTTGTTTTCCTCCCCCAAATTGCCCTCTGTGGCTCCAACAGTGGTTGTAGGGCTGGGATAGGCTGCCCTGGTGCTGTGGTGTGCGGGGCATCTGCAATCTGTTGTGTATGTGTGTGTGTCCATACGTGTTCATGTTTGCATGTGGGCTTATGCATGTGCATGCAAGTCTGCATGTATGCATATGTGTGCATGCATGTGCATGTCTGCATGCATATCTGCATGTATATTCATGTGCATGTCTGTGTACCCGCATTCACATGGAATTCTGTACGTCCATGTGTATGTGTGCATGCATCTGCCTGTGTGTGCATGTGTCTGCATGTCTTCATGCATATGGATGTCTCTCTGCATGTGTGTATGTGGCCAAGAGCCATTCCACATCTGTGCAGTTGGGGTGGAATGGGGCCATCTGGGGGCAGGCTGACCTTTCTGTGCCCGTGCCACGTGCTCTGGGGCCAAAGCCATGCATGGGGATTTGGAGTGGCAGTGGGGGAGTTTTGGGGGGATGCCATGACCATAGTGGGTGGTTTTGGGTTGTTCCCAGTTAGGAAGATTCCTTCCATGGTGGGCTGGGATATGAGGTAAGGCATGGGATGGGATGGGAAGTGAATAGGATACAGGTTGGGATTGAGAATAGCATATGGTATGGTATATGTGGGATAGGGGATATGGGATGTGGAAAGAAATATGGGATGAGAAGAGATATGGAATTGGGTATTTGATGAAATGGGATGTCGGATAGAACATGATATGAGGATATAGGATAAAGGGTGAGGTGGGATGAGAAGGGATGTATCATGGGACAGAACAGGATGGACTTTGAGGTGGGATAAAGGTTGGGATGAAACAGAATATGTGAGAAGAAAGGGTATCGGAGGTGAGTTACAGGATAGGATGTAGGACAGTGAGTGGGGTGGGATATGAGAGGACATGGGGTGGTGGGGAAGCGGGGTTTAAAGACCATGGGGGAGGGATGTGGGGCTTTGGGGTGCCGGCGCTGGGGCGACTGGAGGCTCCGTTGGGGGGAGGCTGGGGGTGGGGCTGTGCGCAGTCCGCCGAGGCGCCCTCCGGCCAGCAGGGGACGCTGTGATCCGGTGCCGGCGGCGCGCTGGCCCAGCGGGCGGCTCTGTGGCGTGGAGCTGTCCAGCACTTCAGGAGGGGACTCGCCGGGAGGGGCCGCGCCGCGCCGGGCCGACCGGGGCCGAGCCGAGCCGGACCCAGAGAGCGGCAGCAGGGCACCGGGCCGGGCTGAGCGGGGCGGCGGGGACGGGAACAGCGGGGAGAGGTGAGCGCGGCATGGTCGGGCTCGGGCCTGGCTCCTGGGGCGGCACCGAGCTGTGTGTGGCGGAGGGGGGGGGTGGGCAGGGAGAGGGGCTGGGGCTGGGGTTGGGATGTAGGGGACAATGGGGAGTGGGGAAGGGCTGGGGGGCAGCGGGGCACGGGGAATGTGGAGCACGGGGATACCCCAAGGGGACGGGGGAGCGGTGGGGGGTCTGTGAGCATCAGTGGGGTGTCGGGGGATTTGAGACCTCAAATGACTGTAGGGGGTGTTGGGGGCTGTGGGTTCCTATGGAGCAGAGGGACCCTGCAAGGAGCAGGCATTGGGGCTGGGCAGGCGTTTGTTTGGGAGCACCCTGCTTCTCTGTGCCGTGGACTGAGGAGATGGGGTCCCAACAGTAGCCAGAGCCCAGAGCGTGGTGGGATATGGGTGACTACAGTAGGGAGAATGCACAAATGGCTCCAAAATCTCAGCCCTAGAGCTCAACTGAGGAAGGTCAGCAGCACTGGGTAAACTGAGTGAAAGCACTGGCTGTTGGGTGGAGGAAAAAGGTGCAAAACTTGACAGTGGGTGAACACAAGGTTTTGGTGAAGTGATTTGTACTGCTTCAGCCCAGGTTCTTTGAAAGAATGCAATTGAATCTCTCCTCCTCCTCCAGAAAGGAGGTTCCAGCTGTAGGAATTTTGGGTTGTGATTTAGGTGGGGGCTGTTCCTTTGCTTGGCCATGCCTGCACAGAGAGCCCATATTGGCATGTGCAGAGTGCTGTGGCTTTGGAGAGCCTTGGGTTGGAGGGCAGTGTGCAGGATGCAACTGCTGCTGATCCACGTGGCCATAGTTGGGTGCACAGAGTGGGGAGCAAGCATGTTGCTAGCTCCTTGGTAACTCCTTGCTAGCCCCTTACTAGTGCTTTGGTGACTTCTTGGTAACTCCTTGCTAGCCTCTGGTGTCTCCTTGGTAGCTGCTTTCCAGCCCCTTGCCATCCACGTGTCCTCTCTACCAGGGCTTTATACAAATCTGACTATCCCTCCTGTTCCTGGGCTTTTCCTGGGCCACCACCCATAGTTTTCTTCATCCCCTGCTGTGGCGGGGGCTCTGTAGGGATGGCAGCAGCCTTATTTCCTAAACAGCAGAGGAGGACGGTAGTGGTGTGGGCTCTGGAGCCAATACTGGGCAGTTTTTAGGGCAACATTTGTCCTTCGTTCTCTTTTGGATGAGCATATGGGGCACCCAGCTGCCTGCCTCAGGCAGGATTTGTGCCTGCTTGGATTTGTCCCCATCCCCAAGGAGGTGCTGCCTTACCGTGGATATAGGGCTGCCCCCCAGCATGGCATTCTCGAGGTGCTTTGATTCCTGGGAAGGGCATCGGGCACCTCAGAACTTCCTCTGTGGGGTGTGCAGTGCCCCCAAGCCCTGTGTGGAGTGGGAAGCAGCAGCTGGGCTGCAGCATGGGCTTTTCCCACTCCTGTCTCGAGGAAATCCCCAAACGTCCCCAGCTGCCCCTTCCCTGCCCCACTTTTGATGCGTGGGAGCTGAATCCTGCTGTAGGAGCTGAACGCTGCCGTGGGGCCCTACCATCCCCAAAGCCCTTCCCCTTCCCTCCCATCCCAAAGCCCTTCCCTTCCATCCCCAGCTCGCATCTTCTCCTGGCCAGGTGGCCCACGGCTTATATAATGCGCTCAGCCCCGGAATAGCTCCTCCCGTTACACAACGGGCACTGCGTCCGGGGGGGGGGGGAAACATGGGGGGGAGGAGACACGGCTGCTTGTTTGCCCCACACCGTGACCCCTGCATCTGGAGCCGCCCCATCACCATTGGGAAGGTATCTCCAGAGCATGTCCTGCCCATGCCCTAACCCCGACCCCACACGTGCCCTCCCGCAGGGTCCTGCCCCACTCTGTGCCCCCTGGCACGCCACAAAGGAGCCCAGTTGCTTGGTAACTGTTTAGCTTCTCTGCCAGCCTCATCTATTTAAAACATATAGATTTATGCTCATGCCTATGGATGCACAAGCAGCAGCAAGCCCTCGCCCAGCCCGTGAGCCCTGGTGCACCGCGTTGCGTCGTTAGCTGTGATGAAGCTCTCCTGGATCACCCAGGGATGACCCTGGATGGTGTGAGGCATTGGGCGTTCAATGGGGCTTCCCCATGCACTGGGGCATCATGTGTGTATTTTATCATAGAGTCATTCAGGTCGGAAAAGACCACCAAGATCATCTAGTCCAACCACCATGCATTAGATATTCTTTATTTCTTTAAAATCTGAAAATTGGCAGATTTTAGCTTGCAGAAGGCAGTGTCCAGGCAGTATTCCATGGCTGCTTGTCCCACCAGGCTACGGGAATGGCATCACGATGTCTGAGCCACATGGATGCAGCCAACTGATAGCCGTGGTGCCATGCTGGTGGCTACACAACCCCAGCCTTGTAGTGGCTCTGCAGGGTCCTGGTGGCTCAGCGCTATCAAGTCCCACCTGGTGAGGCTTTTCAAGCTGATTTTCTTCTTTTATTCCTTTCTTTTTCCCCTTTTTTGGAGGTCTGACTCATGGTTTTTGGCACTCGGGCTGCTGGGAGGCAGCGTCTGGGAAGGTCGTCCCAATTAAAGGCAGGAACCCAAAACTCTTCCTCCTTGTAATGCTGGCCAGGTATTTAGGAAAGGCTGCTGTGTTATGGCTTTTGGTGCTGTGATGTGTGCTCGTGCGTGGCCTGGAGGAGGCCTTCCACTGGTCATCTTCAAATACTGGACAATAGCAGCCCACAACAAGGCAGAAAGCTATTTGGGGATGGGATTATTATTTCTGCTGTGTGCTGATTGCACACCCTGATGAGACCCAGAGGGCAGTGCTGGAGCCAGAATACTGAGATGGGGTGGTTGGCATTGTGGATAAGGAAACTGAGGCATGGAGCGAGACTGGTGGCCCGAGTGGGGCAGGGTTTGTGAGTGAGAGGTCCTCTGCTTGGCTGCGTCGTGATCTCTTGTGGGACTGAGCACTGGGGAGCTCGGTGTGTGAGCAGCACAGAGCAGGGGATGGTGGAAGGGGATGGAGATGGGGACAGAGGATGGTGGATGGGGCTGGAGGTTGGAGCATGAGAGTGGAGATGAAGGTGGGCGGGTGGGGGTAGATGATAAGGATGAAGGCTGGAGCGTGAGGATGTAGCATGGAGATGGAGGATGGGATGGGGACGGAGGGTGGAAATGAAGATGGAGGATGAGGATGAAGATGGAGGTGGAAAATACAGGATGGAAGGCACAGCATGGGGGTGGTAATGGGCATCTCTCGACGTTTCCAAAAGCAGGTGGGATTTTCTCCTTCCAATTCTTGTTTGCTTGGCACAAGCTGCCAGCAACAGACGAAGGCTTCATCCCCCCCCCTTCCAGGACTGCCTTCCTCTTGTAAACAAGGTGGAAATTTTAAAGGGGAAAATCGCTCGTTGCTCTTTAGAAGAGGAGCAGTGATGCCAGTCACAGTGTCATGCCACCCCCTGGGAGACCCTGGGCCAGCCAAAGCCACATCAAAGGGATCTTTGCTTTTTCAGTGCTCAGCGTTGGCCTCTCACTGCCTGCAGAGATGTCAGTGTGTCCTCGGGTGTCCCCATCCCTGCTGCATCCCATGCCCCCTTCCCCGGCACGCAGGCACTCGCCATTGCCCTGTCTGGTGCAGCTGGATGTGGTGAGAATTAATTGAGCACCGACCGGAGGCGGCTTTAATTAGCGGCCAGGCAGGGGGCTCCGCTGCTGTGCTTCCCCTCCCTGGGGGAAAAGAGAAGAGACAAATTTTCTCGGGAGTTTCCCCCTGCACCAAAGCACTGGGGAATGGCTCTGGTGGTGGGGCTGGATGCCAGCACTGTGTCCTGCAACGCGTTCCTACGAGCCCATGGGAACAGTGCCTGCTCTCTCTGTGAGGCAGCCGGCTCTCTGGCTGCCAGCACATGATGATTTGTGGGTAATTACTGCAGATAATGAAATATTTAACCATCCTGTTTATTATTGTGGATAGCAGTGAGCCAGGCAGGAAACTGCTGGCTTTTGGGTCGGGCCAGTGGGAATCACCATTGGAATGGTGTTGAGGGTGAGGATGGAGGCTGTGGATGAGGATGTGGGTGGGTTTGAGGATGAAGGATGCTAAAGAGCGTGGGGATGAAGATTGGGGTGGAGGATGTTGTTGAGGATGGAGATGGAGGCTGCAGATGAAGCTGGGATTTAGGATGGGGATAGTGTTGAGGATGGGGGTGGATGCTTGGGAGTGACGTGGGGATGTGGGTGATGTTGGGGATGGAGGCTTGGAATGAGGCTGAGGTGCTGTCTCCACTCCAAGCCTTGGTCCAGCACGGTCAGGCCATCCCTGCTCTGTCAGTGGCTGATGACTGGAGGTTGTGGAGGTGATGGCTGCCCTCCTGCAGCATGTCCCCAAGCTGTCCCTTGCACAGGGTGTTGCTGGAGGTCTCTTTTTGGGACAAAGGAGTGCAGACCTAGCCCATCCTCCTGGGGACTCCATTTGCCCCAGTGCATTGTCCCTATTGTCCCCATAGGCACAGGACTTTCTCCATTTCCCATCCAGGGCTTTTGCTGGTGGCTCTGCTTTGCTATTTATAGCAGGATGGTGTTTGCGAGTAGTTTTTTATCTTCCTTTGTTTTCCTGCCTGTGCCGTCACTGAGGCAGGATTGCTGTTATTAGGTGTTATGAGGAATATTACTCACTTCTGAGCACTTCCCTCCCTGCCACCCCCAGCCCCTTGTCCTCAGCTGCCTGGCAAGGGCTTCCAGCAATCCAGAAAGGGGGCACCGACACCAACTGAGCATCCCCCATTCCCCTGCCCCCATCCCACCATGTTCCAGTAACGTCTGGGGACAAAGGAGTCCCAGCCCCTCTCCCACCACCTCAGAGGGGCCCTGCAGTCAGCCTTTGCAAACCAGCACTCAACATCGGCATTAAGGGCTCTGCAAAGACACTGAGCTCCATCCCCACTCAGGGTTATCTCCCGTTAGGTATATTCCCCAATAGGACCAGCCTCCGCCACCCCATAGTCCTTATCTGTAGCTCTGGCAGCCCATTTATCTCCTCTCTCTGTGCACGCATTCCTTCCTCTATCAGCCCAGCGACACATTCAGTGCATTCTCAAGGTTTTGCAGCAATGAATTTCCCCACTGCTGGGTTAAGGATAAAATGAATTCCCACTGGAGGAAGCGAGCAGAGGCTGCTGCTGCAGAAAGCATCCGCCTCTTCCCCCTCTCTCTGCCATGGAAGGAGCCCTTTGGTGGAGAAACCGTTCCCGGTGGGAAGCTTCCATCATTCCCGAGTTCTTGTCCCTAATGAGAGAAAGGCAGAGCTGTTGAGGAAGAGGAGCCCAAGCTGGCATGGGTGGCTGAACATGTATTGGCCCATAGGTGACATTTCCATAGAGATCCTGCTGTAATCACGCTGGTTTCCTTGTGTTTCAGACATAGGAATCAATAGGCTTTAATAATGCAGAGAGGTGCTCGGAGAGCACAAGGATGTTCGTCCCTGCTGCTGCTTCCAGCGCTGTGCCTGGGCACCTCGGGGCAATCAGAGCGCTCCGCTGGCTCCTGTGCTCAGTCCCACACCACGGGTGTGTGATTGCACAGCACTGGTGGTGACCCATTGCTCTTTGTTCCCACCAGGTGCTGCGTGCCACCCGCACCACCATGGCTCTCTACAACAACGGGGCCAACGTGCCCTCGCCCCAAGAGGCCTCCAACGGCTTCTCGCAGCCCGGTGCCTCGGGCACGTGGCACAAGGCAGAGGAGGAGGTGAGGCTGGTGGAGCCCAGCCTGGTGAAGAAGGCTCACCGTGAGATCCTGGACCACGAACGCAAGCGGCGGGTGGAGCTGAAGTGCATGGAGCTGCAGGAGATGATGGAAGAGCAAGGGTGAGTGGCGGGCATCCGGGGCTGAGGTGTGGGGTAAGCCGTGACATGGGGCCCCTGTTGACTTCTCCTTCTGAAGTACCTTGAAGTGGCAGAGGTCCACAGTTGGAAGGGAATTTGTGTTTGGACAGGTTAGCCAATTCTCTTAGAATCGTAGAGCCATTAAGGTTGGAAAAGAGCACTAAATCACTAAGCCCAACTGTTTAGCCATCATCCCCATCACCAGGCCATGTCCCTAAATAGAAAATAAGCATGGGGTGGGGAAAAGAAGCAGAGCGGTTGTGTTTAGCCCCAGGTGAGGCAATTACAGTGCTTCAGTTTGTCCCTGCTCTCTTCTCACTCTCCAGTTTTGGGACTGAAGTCTGACTGATGGAGCAAATGCTTCAGCACACGCAGGGAGACGGGGACTGGGATCAGCTGGGGAGAGGGAAAATGGATTGAGAGGAGGCTTCGCCAAAGCTTTCATTAAGAGCACAACTGTGACCTAGAATTAAATTGTCTCACACAGGCTGGAATAATGATTACGCCTAATTTGTCGTTATGGAAATAAATAAGGCTGACCTGGCGCCTTGGGGAGCCCGGGTCCTCCTTTTGGGTTCCCGTGCCCTGCTAAGATTCTCACTATTAGTAGTGGCATTACTGCAGCGGGTAGTATTGTGATGGGTACTGTTGTTATTGCTCTAATTGCCTTTGCTGTTATTAAGGCTATTAATAACGGTGATACACCGAAATGATAACGTAATTACAGCCGTCATCTTGGCCAACCTGGTTAATCCCCCTCTGCGTGGGAGCTCTCCCGGGGGCTGCAGGGGAAGTGCTCTGGGGGGGTTTCTTCCTCGGGGGATTGATCTCCAAGGGCAGGGCCCAGTGGGACCAGGTGCTGTGATAGCAGAGAAGGGTTTTGGGGCATTGGAGCATTCCTTCCGTGCGGATGGCTCCTCCTGATCCGGCTCTGACTGCTGCCCATTCCAGACTGCCCGCAGGGTTCCTTCTGGCTGGTGGTTGGATTTCTTCTGTGGATAAGAACTGTCAGCAATTTCTCCTCCCTTCTCCACCCTGTTCTCTGCATTCAAGGCAAAAAAAAACAAACCCACCTTCTGCTAGGGTTAAAAGCAGCTGCTCTGCAGCCAATCTTCAGGTTCCCCATGCTGCAGGGTGAGTATCCATGCTGCAGCTGGTGAGGTGCAGAGCAGCGTTCTGGGGGTGCTGCCCTGTTTAGGGGTCTCCCAGTGCTGGTGGGATGCAAGGTGCAGGAAACAACCACAGCTGCCTGGTTCACCACCCTCCTGCTGGGCAGCCCTGTCTGGCTGGAGTATTAATGAGTCCATTTCAGTGCAAATGAGCTCATTAATATTAATTCCTCTTTCATTATGGTTGAGCTGTGCACCCGACTGCAGGACGTGGTCCAGGTGCTGCCCCATGCCTCGCTCTCTGGGGGAGATTGCCGGAAGCACGGTGATTTTCTCCATTTCAGTACAGAACCTTCAGGTTCGGGTCCAGGGGATGCTCTGGTGCCTTTGTGCCAATGCAGGATGCAGTATAGAAGTGTCTGCTGTCACTGATCCTCCTGTGTCTCTGGCACGGTTGGAGTGCTGTGCTTTGCCGCGGCTGTTTGCAGATGCCAGGGACAAAGTGATTAGTGTCTCTCGTTAATAACCCTGCAGTGGCCTGAGTCAGCGTTCGGCGTTAGCGCAGTGCTGGCTTGGCTGCTGGGACGCAGCACAGTGTGGGGACAAGCAAGGGAGGCTCATGTAGGGATGGAGGAGGGAGCTGGCCTCACCAGCTATGAGGACGCAAGGTGTCCTCATAGTTGTCCTCCTCTTTTACTCTTCCTCTGCTGAGTGCTGCTTGGGAAGGGAACGCAGGATTGAGGGAGTGCAGAGCACCAGGAGGAGAGTCCTGCTGTCCTCCAGGCCCTGCTGACCATCACAATGCCACCTCTCCTTCCCAGCCCCTCTGGCCACGTGCCACTCCTAAGGGTATGGGAGCTCATCAGCATGTCCCTGCCCTGCGTGCCCCTTCGGCCATTCCCCCTCCTCCTGTCTCGGCCTTGGGGGGGCACACTGTCCCTGGGGAGCCAATGCCGTAATTGTGCCAACTCTGACTGCATCTCTGCCCACCCAGGTACTCAGAGGAGGAGATCCGGCAGAAAGTGGGGACCTTTCGGCAGATGCTGATGGAGAAGGAGGGCGTGCTCACCAGGGAAGACCAGCACGGGCGCCAAATGTAAGCGAGGCAGCTCTGAATCTGCCCATCTCTGTCCTACATGTTTCTGTCCCGGGGATACATATCCCAGATTGTCACTGAAGATGGGTGGATATATGGAGATAGTTGGATAGATGATGGATATAGAGGGTGAGTGGGGGTAGATTGTTGGATGGATGGATGGATGGATGGATGGATGGATGGATGGATGGATGGTTAGACAACTGGTTGGTTGGTTCATTTGCTAATTGATTAGTTGGTTGACTGGAGGCAGACTTTGCCTCTCTGAGGCAGGGTACTACCTCTAGAGAGGTTCTCTCTCCCCAGTTGTTTATCACCCATTGGGTGCTCTATAGAGGTGCCATTATTGCAATGCTCCTATTTCAGATGATGAAACCAAAGCATAGAAAGGCTGGCCACTCACTCACCCTTCCAGTCAGTGGTGGAGAGCAAGCTGCAAGTTTGGTGTTCACCAGGCTGTGTGTGTGAGTCCAGCCACTCATGCCCTGACTCTGCCTGCCCACGAACATCACTGAGGTCACTGGAGCAGAGCAAAGCACTAGTTTGATCCTATATGATGTTCAGCCCATGCTTCACCATTGCCCACTCCTGCTGTGTCGGTTGCTTCTCCTGCCCTCTCCAGGGCTGAAAACACAGCTTCTCTGTCTGGGTAAAAACTCCTCACAAGGATCTGCCCCGTTTTCATGCTGATTTATTGGTGTGATGCTTAATGGCCCAGACAGCATGGCTGGTCTGGCGCACACCATCTATCAGCCTGGAAACCAGGTCACTTGGGACAGGAATAGATGCTGCAGGTCCACTGAATATTAATGCTTCATTAGGGTCAGGAAATCAGGGCGAGGGGGAGGCGGGGAAGCCACTGTGTTGGGGACAGCCTTCCTCTGCCAGCAGCCACCAAGCAGGACCAGGGCTCAGCTGTGCCCACCCCCACTTGGGGTGCCCGTCCCCATCTCCACTCCACAGACCATCTGGGTCTTTCTCCAGGCAGGTGGGAAAACCAAGGCATGGGGTAAACCAACCTGCCAGGGTCGCTCAGGCAGCTGAGAGTCCTATTGGCATGTTAACAAGTGGCCTTTGCCTGCGGGGCACAATTTGTCTCCAGGGCATCTTCCCAGGAGAGGCTGCCCATCTCATTAGGGCTGGTGTTTTAATGAGCACATGGCAAAGCCAGAGGTGTGTCCAAGGGTACCCCAGAGTGGCTGTCACCTTTCCCTGATTGCAGGCTTGCTTTGGAAGGGTAAGCATTAGATTAGCCCATGGGCTATAAATAATAGTGCTGAGTTGGAAGGTCTATAGCAAGAGACTGCAAGGAGTGCACAGCCAGGAGGTGCAGGGAAGAGGGAAGCACAGATAGGTCCCAAGGAGCTGGTGCTCCGTGTGATGGGGATATGACCTGTGGAAGTCCCTGCTGAAGGATGGCTTGGGTGCCAAAACTCTGCACTGCTTGAAGGTATACCAGTGCTTTAATAAACACCCACCACTTTTGCAATGACCTGGGAGAGCTCTCAGCACTTACCTTGTCTGCTGGTCTTGTTCCAACACCTCCCAGGCCCATGTTTCTGAACCAGCTGCTCTCTTTTCAAAATACATGCAAAAGCTCAGCATTGTCTGCAGAAATCCCCAGGGGAAACTGAGGCACCAAGCAGAGCCATGACCACCTGAGCCCTAGCTCGCTGTCTGCGCCCTCCTAGCTCCTGTCTGTGCATGCACAGCCTGCTCCTGGCAGGGGGACTGCTTGATGGACAGACTGGTAGGCTTAAAAAGAAATGCAGGCGTGTATCAGGAGAGGAGGTGTAACTGGAGCAGCACGAGCTGGTCCCGAGCTGCTGAGCACAGCTGATGGGCAATGTGCTGGCAGCAGGCTGTGGTGTGCAGCACGTGGTCCAGCACTGCCTGTGTTGCTACACTTCTTGTCAAACACAAAATCCAGCAAGAGTTAATTCACTTTGTGCAGCTCCTTTTTTTTTCTTCGTCCTTTCCATGCTTTGGTTGTTGTTTCAAAGGCATTGTTGTGGAATAGCTGGGTCAAAAGACAAAGGACTTCACTCCTCCACTGGCTTCTTTGCTGCCAGCCTCCAGACTGGGACATGGGGAGGAACCTAGGTTGGGACATCAGCTAAAAAGTCTTGAAGATTCCTATTGCTAAATATCCTCTGGGAGGCAAGAGTGCAGGTTCATTTGATGATGGCACCAACCAGTGTCGTTTCCTCCAGAGCACCTGGAGTTTCCTTGATTGCCCTGTTCCCTCTCAAGATGCAGTCATAGACTCACAGAATCATTTGAGATGGAAGGAACCCTTTAAGGTCATCTGGTCTCATTCCCCTTCAATGAACAGGGACATCTACAGCTCAGTCAGGCACTCATGGCCTGGTCCAGCTTGTCTGTGGGTGCCTCCAAGGATGTCCCTGATCTGAGCCATGTTCCCCAACAGACAGAGGGGTGCTGGTGTGGATGTGGTGATGAACCATGGGCTGCTTGCTGTTGCTAAGGAAATGTTCCTTCAGGGCTCTTGGGCATGATTTTCCTGCTCTGCCTTCCTTTCCCAGTGACTGTCACCAAGCCTCTAGGCATCTTGGCAGCATTTTGGGTTCAAGAGCTCATCCCCTGCCCCACATCCTCACTGTTCCCAGCACCACTCCTTAGGGGAGTGGGTGCTTTTCCCTTGAGGTCCCCAGGGGCTTTGGGGCTGACGGCAGATCAAGAGCAGCATGAGGTGTGGGCAGCCAGGAGAGATGGGCATGGCCCCCCCTGCTTGCTGAGTCCAGCCCACAGCCCCGGTAGTCAATGGCAACCTCCTGTCCGTTTCCATGGCAGCAGAAAAATTAATGCTGATGAAGCTGCTGAAGAGGAAGAGGAGACCTCAGTGGCTTTGGGCCTGATGTCCCCTCCTCCCTCACCCTGGCTGACCTGGGGGACATCACCCATCACCTCCTGTGCCAAGCCTATGACAGGTCGGGCTCTGGCCCCCAAGTCCGGATCATCCCAGGCAGCTCCTGCCGATGGCAGATAATCCCCAGTCTTCCACCAGCTCTACTCACCCTAATCCAGCCCCCGCCACCGACCTGAGCTGACCCCACCAGCAGCACCCGCTCAGCCCCACTCCGCCTCGTGAGGCAGCAAAGGGATTCTGAGTGATGACGAAGACAGGGGGGTGGTGTCCTGGCCCCGGGGATGTCCTGGTGCTGACATACTGTAGAGACAGGCACTGTAGGAGGACCCCACAAAGACCTCTGCCACGTGATGGTGATACCCATGGAAGTGCCAGGCGCTGAGTGATCACAGAACCATAGAATCGTTAAGGTTAGAGAAGACCTCTCACCCCCCCCATGCCCACTGACCACATCCCCCACTGCCACATCTCCACGGCCCTGAAACACTTTCAGGGATGGTGACACCCCCATCTTTCTGGGCGGCCCATGCCACTGCATCACAGCCCTTTCTGAGAATAAATCTTTCCTAATATCCAAAGTCATTCAAGAGGTGGTGACAGATCCAGGTCTCCTTGACCCCATGTGCCAACAGCAGTGCCACCACACTGCTGTACTCTCCCCCAGCCCCAATTCAGCCCCACCACACTCCTCTTGGATGCCAGTCTCCCAAATTTCCCGTGTTTTCTCCTTTGCCAGAGTGATAGAAAACCACCACGGGCTGGATGGGGAGGAGTACACAGCGCAGTACCCTGAGTGTGACGAGGGCTGCCTGCTGCAGTGTGACTGCTCAGCCGAGTGCTACCACGACGACAGCAGCCACCGCGAGTACAGGTCTGGGCAGGGGGCTTTGGGGGCGTCCCCAGTGGGAGGTGGCAGCGGTTGGTGTGGGAGCAGCTCCATGTCCCCATCTTAAGTGCATGTATGATCTTCTGACACTCTCATTGGCACAGCCACAGCAAGCTCAGGGACACTGGGTGTGATGGACGCGGTGATGTTGGCCATGGAATGGTGGATGGTTTTCTTTTCTCACCTCAACCCTTTCCTGCAGGCTGAAAAGACGGTCGAGCAGCTCCACCTCCCCACCACCCAAGAAGAAAAAGAAGAAGAAATCGGGTCACCGCCGGAGCCGGTGAGTCCTCACTTGTCCCTGCACTGTCCCCTAGACAGGGAGGCTTCAATCCTGTGTACTCTCCCTGCTCAACTCTTCTCAGCCTCCGTGGAGCCAGGGGGCACCTAAGAACCTTTGGTCCCTGTGCTGATGCATCCTAAATCCTGGTTGCTCACCCCAGTGTTGGTTAGCAGTGTTGGGCTCAATGAAAGTGGGAATAATATGAGCGTGGCACCGGGAAGAACTTGTTTCCCTTCCTGTTTTATATTTCCTGGCACAGTGGGAGGATGCTGTCCTTAAATAACCCTTTCTTTTCTGCCTTCCCTGCGGCAGCAAAAAGAGGAAACCCGGTTCAGAGCGCAGGTGAGTGTCCCTTTCCCAAATCCCCATGGCAATCAGCTGCTCTTGTCTCCTGCTGGAGGCAGTGAAGCCCACGAGGTGGCAATGGGACACAGCTGGATCTGCCTGCTCTGGCTGCAGGGTGAACCAGAGCCCTTCTGCCAAATGCTCTTTTCTGTCCCCTGAAGAAATAATTTCCTTGCAGTATTTGTGCATCTCAGGGGCTGTGCAGGGAAGTGACATGCTGATGGGTGGTGGGGATGGGGCTCCCCTGGGTCACAGGGATGGGGTTTGGGGTCCCACCCCATGGACACCACTTTCCTCCCTGCAGCTGTGACAGCTCTTCCCCGATCCGCAAGGAGAAGAAAAAGAAGACCGGAAAGAAGCACAGACGTGACAGGTGAGATGGACACATCTCCAGGGCTGGGGTCACCAGACTGGTTGGTGGCTTCAGGGAGGGCTGGTGACACTCGTAGACTGGATAAGGTGGCAAAGTGCGTGGAACTGGGTGTCCCTTCATGGGGCAGAATTCCAAACCATGGGCTGTCACCTCCCCATGGCCGGGAGAGCCATCCCAGTGGTTCCTGCATCCTCATCTACATCACCCCCAGGGGTTGCCTGTCCCTCGCCCCCTGTCAACTAGCTCCACATGTCTCCTTCATCCCTGCTTCCTCTTTATCCTCAGGTCTGAGTCAGGCTCTCGGAAGAAGAGAAGACACAGGTGAGGGTGAAGGCTGCCGGAGCCACACCACTACCACTCATTCTGTCCCCCTACCCCAACACTGTCGCTCTGGAAGTGACAAGGGGCCACCCTATGATCTGGATGTGCACTGGCCAGGGCTCAGCACAGTGACCCATTGCAACCAGGTGCTGCTGGGCTTGGGGAAGTCCCTGCATCCCATCTCTGCCCTTTTACCTTTCTGCCCTCCCCACAGGTCCCGCAGCCCCAAAAACAAGAGGAAAGAGAAAAACAAAGAGCGCAAGAGGTGAGATGCTGTGAGCGGGTGGCTGGCAGGATGCATGCCCCTCAACACTGCATGAGTGCCCAGTGCAGAGGCTCATCCTGCCCATCAGCCCTGGCTGTCATCCTCACAGGTCCCGCAGTGCATCGCCAGCCTGGCACTCACACCGGCGCAGCAGCTGCAGCTCGCACAGCGCTTCGCTCTCCTCCTACTACAGCAACTCCAAATCCCCCAGCAGGTAGGAGCACCCTTGGGCACAGTGTTCCCATGGTAGGCACCTCTGTGGGGACAGCAGAGGAGCAGGTGCTGAAGCACCTTACAGGATGCTTAAGGGGTTGGAAGGGCAGCACTGGGGAGTCAAAGCAAAATCTCAATTAGGAAAGAGCGCAAAACCCGATTTCTTGCCCCATTTTTTGTTCTTGCGCCATGATCCCAACCCAGTGTTGAGTGCCGCTGTTATGCTGGCACGTGGGTGAGGATGTGCTATCCGCCTTGCTGAGCACGCCGTGCCCCACAGGCTAAGCCCCAAGCATCGTGAGGATGGCCCCAAGGGCAACAGCGCCCGCTCCAGCCGCAGCCCGTCCTCCTCCTCACCGCGCCGCTCGGCCTCACCGCACCAGAACGGGCACAAGGGCAGCGCCCAGAATGGCCGCCACAGCCATGGCCCTGCACTCGAGGAGCCAACGGATGTACGTAGGCTTTTCTTGCACCATGGTTTGCTGCCCTCTCCTCCTCTTCCTTCTCCCTTTGCAGGAATCCCTCACCCTGGCTCTCCTCTTCCCTCCTTCCCCATCTCAGTGACGGACAGACTGATGGGGACGCAGTGCTGGCTGTCCCCGTCCCTGTGTAGACATGTTCCCCCAACCCTGGGGTGCTGGTCCATCTCCTGTGGGCAGGATCCCCAGCACCAGGTCCCCCTTTATGGCCACTCGGTGGATGTCACACCCTGAGGTGTCCCCCTGTGGCTCAGCAGGGCCACTGTTGGGAGTGGAGTGCTCACAGGTGGCCAAAAAGTGGGTAAAAACGGAAGTGTTATTTCCATGCCACCTGCAGCCCATCCAAGCGCAGGATCCCAGCACCACTCTATGTGCCCAGACTGAGGACTGCTGTAAGGCCAGGAGAGATCATGGAGTGGGGCTTGGGGCTGAGCGCTAGGATTCTGGGCATCCAGGGTCCCCATGATGGGTGATAGTGGGTCCAATTGTCCCCAGCAACACCAAGAGTCCCAGCAAAACCCAGCTGTGCTGGGGGCTTGTCCCCACAACGGGATGAGGGGACCAGTGCCAATTTAACCAGTAATGGAGCACCTCTCTACACTCTTCTTTGCTGTTTGGGGTCTGGGTGCCAAGGAGCCCCCACCCCGGGCATCTCGCATTGCCCATGAGCTCCCTTGGCTCCCCAGCTCTAGAGGAGACTTTTCTCCGACAACTTTTCTCTCTTTCTCTCTCTCTTTCTCTCTCTGTTTTTGTTTTCTTTGTTGTTTTGTTTTGGTTTTTTTTTCCTTTTCTTTTTAATCCCATCTGTGTTTTTCTTTAGCCTCCCATTTGAAAAAAACCCGAACGGTAATATACAATTCCATTTCTTGCTCAGCAGAAGCAGGGAAGAGGGGGAGGGAAGGGCAATGAAACCACGCTTTTTTTCCCCACTTGTTTTAGTTTCCTTTATCATGATTTATTTTCTTTTCCTTCATAATGTACAGAAATGCAAACAATATATATCTCTCTTATTTTATTTCCCCCTGTCGTCGTCGTGTTGTTCTAGAATTTTTTGCTTTCGTGTGTATTAATGTGGAGAAGAAAAAAAAAAAAAAAAAAAAAGAAACAGAAAAACCAACAGATGTGTTTCTAAAATACTGACAGCCGTTGAACATTGTACCTCCATCCTCTATATTTTGAACCAGGGCTTTAAAAGGGAAGCTAAGCGAGCGGCCGTGCGCCGTGCCAGCCCTCGGCTCCGAGAGTCGGCCGCGGCCCGGCAGCTGTCCGTGGTGCTGACGGGGGTCTCCTCCCCACGCTGTACCCCAGCAGTGGGGGCCGCGGTGCCCACCTACCGTTGACTCCCTCCCGGCCACGCCATGCCGTGATGCTGCCGTACTGCATCCCGAGCACCCCGAGCACCGGAGCATCCCGAGCATTCTTCCCAGCAGCGGCAGGGCTGAGCCCCCAGCCTCCCCCAGTCTCTCCAAAACTACTCGATTCAGCCCATTTTTCCTCATCTCCCTGCCCAGCACCGCAGGCTCCCCGATCGAGGCAGGGTGCTGTGTGATGTTGACTTCCCTTTTAAACTCCCCGTCCCGTCTCCATCCATCCTCGCCTCCAACTGCCTCCCCATCCTCTTTGCATTTGTCCTTCCTCCCCATCTCTCCCTCCTCCTCCTCCTCACCTTGCTCTCTCACTTGCACACACTCTCTGTAACTGATTTCTCTCTGGTTTTCTTTGGGCCGGTGCTGAGACAGCCCTCCCGGCCTCCACACGTCCTGCTCCATCCGCTCCCCTTGCATGTTGTTTGGGATTTGGTCATGTCCAGCAGCCACTTTTTGGACCGAATCGCAGTGTTGCTGTCTAGGGGCTGGGTTACACACAAAGCTGGCAAACCCGCTGCGGCCGCGAAAGCCACTGGCTTTCCAATTAAGCACAATGAAAAAAAAAAAGATGCAAACGAGACCAATTATATATTAAAAACTCTAAGCAAAGCAAACTTGATTAGCAAAGGGGTCTAAATCACATTACTAAAGAGTCATTGTCTTTTTCCCATTCTGCACTCCAAATGTGGAGATTATTGTTTTCTTTTTTATTATTGCATTCCTGTCACTGCCAATTCAGAAGGTAGGTATTTCGTCCACCTCTGCACGTTCACTTCTGCAGATGAGCCTGTTGAAAAGCACCGTAGCTTGATTTAATGTTATTTTCTCTTTCTTTCTTACTTTCTTTCTCTTTCTTCCTTTCTTTCTCTCTTTTTCTCTTTTTCATTTTGTCTCTTTTTGGTGGCTATATATGATTTTTTTTTTCAATTTGTATGGTTTTCCCCAGTTAGCTGCAAAGCCATGCTCTTCTCTTACGTTCTTTTTTTATTATTTTTTTGCCCTGTTCATGTAAATTTTTTTCTTTCTTTCTGCCTTTTCTCTTTTCCTCGTTCTGTTGGTAGAATGCATTTCTGTGTGTTTTAGCCCTCCGAGTTTGTGTTTGTTCCCACAGATGGTACAGTCACATTGGGTCGGGCTGAGTTCCCCCATGCTTCCTTAGGGGCTGGATAACAAGATGGATTTAATGAAACATAGAGGCAAAGAGAAATAGGCACATCCCAGTGTGTGAGAAGGATTTATGGAGCTATGGGTGTTTGGGGCTGCAGGATGGGGAGGGAGGAAGGGCCAGCAAGAGAGAAATTGAGGGAGATTGGATATTTTTTGCCCCTGCTGGGGCTGTTGTGGCAGTGAGCTGAAGGGACCTGGGGAGAGCACTGGGGGCTGCAGAGATCTTCTGAGATCTTCCATGCCCACAACAAGTACCCGGAGGTGTTTTTCCTCTGGACTGGACCTTTGCAAGGGTTTATTTGGATCATCCTTATTTTTGTCTTCCAATAGAAGCCCCTTCTGCCCTCCCCATCCCTTTTTCTGTGTTTTGGATGTGGACCCCATAACCCCACAGCATGGATGGCAAATGTGGGAATGCCTCACTTGGCAGGAGGTCCCTTCACTCTGTCTTTCTCTCTCTTCTTCTTCACTTGGATTTTTCCTTGGATGTAGGGCTGGGGTGCAGCCACAGCCCGATCCCTATGTGGGTGCTGATGGTGGGGCATCCATCCCCACTGCCACTTTTCCCCCTTGCTGGAGCAATGACAGCAGCAGCCAATTATTGAAGCAATTGCTAAAACTGCACCAAACCACCCTCCTCAACCCTTTCCCTCAGGGCTCTGCGGCTGTAGAGTCTACAGGTGCTGGCTTGGACCACTTGTCCATAGGAACGAGGGTGTGATGGGGACGTGCTGACAGCAGCATGTCCTTTTGGCAGCATCTTCCTTGCAGACCCACAGTACATCATCCACTTCTCTTTAGGGGGAGAAAAGCAGCATTTAGGATTAACTACATTTGAGGCAAAGGGGATGGTGGAGAAATGAGGTCAACGGCCACCCCGAGGACAGCGGCACCTCCCAAATCTCCTTAAGCCCCATCAGATCACACAGGATTTACCCTTCATGGGCATCAGGAGCTGATGGAATGGGGGAGACTTCCCCAAAGCCTTCCCATAGCCTAAGACCTTCAGCCTCGTTCGGTTGGGGTGGTCACCACGCCGGTGGCCCCGTGTCACTGCTGGGTAGTCAGGATGGGTCCCCGATGCCCGATTTTGGAGTGTAGTGAAGGGAGTTTTGTTTTATTTCTCTCCTCTCTTTGTCTCTGTCTCTCCTCCTCTCTCTCTTTCTTTCTCTCTTGCATTTTTGTGAATCTAATGATGCACTTATATTGCCCCGCTTTTCCCTTCTCTTCATACCTTACCTACTAAAGGAGGAAATGCCACTTTTTTGGTAAGTGGATGTTAACCAAGAGGGACTTAAAAAAAAAAAAAAAAAAAAAAAAAAAAGCATATAATGGAAAAAAAAAAAAAAAAGGAAGCAGAAATCAAAGTCTGTGTTGAGTGCTGATGAGGACTTAGCAGTTCCCTGCAGAGTCACAGCTAACAGATCAATGCGTATCCCAGGAAGAGTTCAGAGACATTCATTTATCTCAGTAACGATGACATTTGTGAAGTTTTGGTTTGGTTTTCCTTTGATTTCGATGTTTTCTTCTTTCTTTTGGTTTCTTTTTCCCTTCTCTTCCCTCACCCCCCAACTCCCTGCCTTGCCCTCCATTGTTGCTCTGTGCCGTCTTCTTCGTTTCTTGATTTGTTTTAAGCCAAAAACCTTACTATCTATAAACCTATGCATATATAAACATTATAGACTTCTATATATGTGCATGCCTCTGTGTGAGCAGCCCCCCCACCCCGCACCCGCCCAGCCCCTCACCTCTTTGTTCCCCCCTCTGTCCTTCAACTCACTCCAACTTACTCTCCCCCTTTCTCCCTCCTCTCATCTTTTCTTTTTTTCTCATTTTCCTCAGTTATTTTGGGTTTTCCTCCCCCTTTCCTTCCACCTCTCTTGGTTGGGGTGGGCGGGCGCTGGGGTTGCTTTCTCTCCAGGTGTCCGGGGGGTCGTTTCTTTCCCTTTGAGCTCTCCCTCCCCGATGACTTTGGGTTTCTTGGATTTTTTTCGTCTCCCCTACCCAACCCCTCTTTGTTTCTTTGTCTTTTCGTTGATTTTTTTTTATTTTTTATTTTTATTTTTTTGCGTTTTGCATGCGGAGGTTTGCATGACCCACGTTGTTGAGGGCGAGAGGCTGAGGAAGGTGCAGGGTAGCATCTGTGTAGCCTGCCTTAATGCGATGTGCGTTGACGTTGTGCACCAAGCCCCGGCCCGGCGCGCTCCACTAAAGACCGCTTTCTCCTTCTTTCTTCCCCTCTCCCCTCCGCCTGTCCCCATTCTCTCTGTCTCTCTTCCCCCTGCCAGAGGCCGGCCTCGCCGTCCCCTTCTCCACGGCCTCGCGGCAGGACGGACCCGCCGTCCCCTCGCACCCGGGGCGGCCGTCATGGTGCCCACTCGCCCTCGCCGGAGCGAGCCAAGCACGGCCACCGGCACCGCTCCCGCTCCGCATCGCCGCCCCGACACCGCGGTCAGGCCCCCCGCCTGCCGGCCCCAACGGGGCTCAGCCCCACTGGCTACAGCAGTGACTCGGAGGGCTCGGTGTGCTCGCACCCGCTCAGCCCCGACAGGACCCACGGTGCCCACGCTAAGAAGTAAGAGCAATCTGGGTGCCACTACATCGGAAGGATGGGTATCCGGGGTGTCCCGTCGCTATCCAGGTGTGGGATGTGCTCCAAGACTAGGGTGGGTGGCCATTGGGTTGGCGTGCTGTTGGAGAGCGATTCCAGTGGGGATGGGTGAGCCCCATAGTGCCCAGATGGCTCTGTGGGATCTTGGGGCATCAGGTTGGATGTCAAGAAAAGGTTCTTCACTAAGAGGGTGGTCAGGCATTGGGACAGGCTCCCCGGGGCAGGGGTCATGGCCGTGAGCTGCTGGAGCTTGGGGAGCATTTGGACAATGCTCTCAGACATATGGTTTGATTTTGGGTGGTCCTGTGTGGAGCCAAGAGTTGAACTCAATGATCTTTACAGGCCCCTTCCAACTCAGGATATCCTGTAATTCTACCCAGCAGGGAATGGGACCAGATGGCCCTTAAGGGCCCTTCCAACTCAAACAATGCAATGATTGCATGATAATCAGGGTCGTTTGGGATCCACATGAATGCTTCTGCTCCTCTATGGGCTCACAGGGGACAGTCCACAGGTTGCAGAAGGAAAGGAACCATGGTGAAAACGTTCCTGTGACATTATCCCCTCTGCCCCTCGCAGGGTGAAGGACAGGCACCACCGGGGCCGTCCCAACAGCAGCTCAGAGTCATCAGCGAAGCACTCTCGGCACGGAGCCTCGGAGCGGAGGAAGAGCCCCTCACACAGCACAGGGCACCGCAGCACCTCCTGGAGCTCCAGCGCTTCCCTCTCCAAGTCTCGCTCCCGCTCACGGGACAAGCGGGCAGCACGCAGCCGCAGCCGCTCTCCCTCGCAGAAGAAAACTGCCAGCAGGTCAGCTGGGGGACACGGCCGGCTTGGGGTCTGAAGGATGGGCAGTGGCAATTCCACCCAGGCCCCTGTGCTGCTGGGTATGTGCATGGCTTCCGTGTCCCATCTCTTAGGACAGCCTCAAAAGTACCTTCAGAGAGCATCCACACCTGAGAACGGGTTCCAGCCCTCCAGGTTTGGGGAGGCGCTTTACCTGCCATGCATGAGCTGTCCCAGTGTCCCACACAGATGCCGTGTTGCCCCACATGCCTCTAATGCTTCTCCTTGTGTTGGTGTAGAGAGAAAGACAATGAGCCTCGAACACGTCACAGTGACCCAGACCCTGCTCGGGCCCGGCGTCGCTCCCGAAGCTACTCCCCAATCAGGAAGAGGAGACGTGACTCCCCCAGCTTCATGGAGCCCAGAAGGATCACCAGGTAGGTCCCAGCATGAAGTCTGTGCATGGTCTGTGTCCAGACTGTGTTCCCAGACAGCCCCAAAGGGTGGGTGAGTGGTTAAATGGACAGATGGATGGATGGTTGGATGCGTGGATGGTTAAGTGATTATATGGATGTATAGGTGGAAGGAAGAAAGGAAAGATCACAGAACGGTTTGGGTTGGAAGGGACCTTTATGATCATCTGGTTCCAACCCCCCTGATAGAGGCAGGGACACCTCCCTCTAGAACCAGTTGCTCAAAGCCCCATCCTGCCTGGCGTTGAATACTTCCAAGATGGATGGATGGTTAAATGGAAGGAAGCGAGGAAGGAAGGGAGGAAGGAAGGGAGGAAGGAAGGAAGGAAGGAAGGAAGGAAGGAAGGAAAGAAGGAAGGAAGGAAGGAAGGAAGGAAGGAAGGAAGGAAGGAAGGAAGGAAGGAAGGAAGGAAGGAAGGAAGGAAGGAAGGAAGGAAGGAAGGAAGGAAGGAAGGAAGGAAGGAAGGAAGGAAGGAAGGAAGGAGGGAGGGAGGGAGGGAGGGAGGGAGGGAGGGAGGGAGGGAGGGAGGGAGGGAGGGAGGGAGGGAGGGAGGGAGGGAGGAAGGAAGGAAGGAAGGGAGGGAGGGAGGGAGGGAGGAAGGAAGGGAGGGAGGAAGGAAGGAAGGAAGGAAGGAAGGAAGGAAGGAAGGAAGGAAGGAAGGAAGGAAGGAAGGAAGGAAGGAAGGAAGGAAGGAAGGAAGGAAGGAAGGAAGGAAGGAAGGAAGGAAGGAAGGAAGGAAGGAAGGAAGGAAGGAAGGAAGGAAGGAAGGAAGGAAGGAAGGAAGGAAGGAAGGAAGGAAGGAAGGAAGGAAGGAAGGAAGGAAGGAAGGAAGGAAGGAAGGGAGGAAGGAAGGAAGGGAGGAAGGAAGGAAGGAAGAGTGGATGGGTAGATGGATGGATGAATGCTTGGATTGGCTTGGTGAAAGGCTGCATGAATGGATGGATACATGTACAGAAGAACGGATGGGTGAAAGGATGGATGGACCAGTTGCTGGACAAACATCTGTAAGGACAGCTACATAACCCTAAGGATGAATGAAGAGCCAATCAGGCTGGTCCAGATGGATAACCAGACTGCCTCCAGTACTACAATCCTCTGGTCTCTTCCCATTTACAGACAGAAAATAAGAATAATTTTACTCTATGTGTGTATATTCCAGCAAGAAGTCCATTTGTCTCCTGCCCTCTAAATGCAGTTTTCTCCTTCCTGAGATCCTATTGACTCAGGATGCCAGGCTCTAAGACAGGCAATATTTAGTGCCAGACAAAACACTGCGTGCATATATAGCACCTCGTTAGCATGCAGCGCTGGCGGCATTAGTGGTGCTGAGCTGAGATTACCTCGTTTCTGACCTATTTGTCTCCCTTGCTATCAGGCTCTGAGCATGGCGCTGGCTGGATTTTCAGTCACAGGCTCTTGCTCACTATGGGAGGATTTTGATTTCTCCTGGACTGGGCTGAAGTCGTAAGATAGAACAAGAGAAATATTGCCCATATCAGCCAGCTCTGCTGTCCTGACCGTGTCACCCCCCCACAGCCAAAATTCCCCAGAGCTGCAGGGTTGCCGGCGTGTGGCCCAGCAGATGACATCTTCATGGCACCATGTGCCACCTCCTGTGCCCCTCCTTCTCCCTCAATGATGCCAATGTCTCCTTTTCCATTTCATCCCAAGGTTCCTCTCGGAGAGCATCGCCGCCTGCCTGGCTCGCAGGGTAACCTCTCCCCCTCCTTCTTCTCTTCCTCCCAGACTGCTCCAATCTGTGCGTCTCTCTCCGGTCCCACTAACGCTGCTCACTGCTGTGTAGGGATGGGACGAGGGGGCAAGGAACAAACTGCTGCATCCCTTGCAATTGTGGGGACCTGCAGGGCTCTGGGCTCAGCACCATGCACTGCTCCGGATGTCACTGCCCCATAGGAGCCGGTGCGGGTCGAAGCTCGGGCAGCCTGACGCTGGCTAATCCCTAACAACTCTTTTTCAGCAGCTTTCACTCTTTGATGGCTGGGAAAACACAAAAGCCACATTAACCCGCTCACTTTCTGTCCTCGGCGCTGCCTAATCCAGGACTAACACCCGGGGCGAACAGGGGAGAGGAAGGGGATGTGGGATGGGTACTGTCACCCTGCAGCCACCCCAAGCGCACTGAGGTGGAGGTTGGGCCGTTGCTCCCCATCCCTCCCCTAACCCACGCCAGGACTGTGACTCGGTTTCCCTTTTCCCTCCGCAGCGCTCGCAAGCGTCCCATCCCCTACTACCGCCCCAGCCCCTCGTCCTCCAGCTCGCTGAGCACCTACTCATACAGCCGCAGCCGCAGCCGCAGCTACGACACCTACAGCACCAGCCGCAGCCGCAGCCGGACTCGCAGCCCCCCCAGCCGCTCGCGCAGCCCCCCCAGCCGCAGCCCCAGCTACAACAGCCGCAGCAGCTCCGAGAGCGCTGGCTTCTGAGCCCCCCCGCCCCAACCAGGAGCCTCCGTCCCACCCCAGGAACAGGGGATTGCCAAGGATGGGCCAAGCGGGCGGGGGTGACCCTGAGCCTGGAGGGTATTTGGGGGTTGGGAGATGGGGTGGGGGGTGGCTTATTTTGGGGGGACAGGGTGGGCGAGCACAGAGCGAGGGAACAAATCACATCGACGTAGCTGGGGGGGTGCTCCATCCAGCGGTGCTTTTTGGGGTATTTGGGACTTTTTGAGCACCTTTCCCCAATCCATGCCTAGCTGGAGTGTGCGATGTGGCCCTAAAGGAACTGCAGCATCTCACTGACTTGTATCCCTGTGACACCCCTGGGGACAGAGGTGACACGAACTATCCTGGGGACCCAACAGCCCTGGGCACCACAGAGCCACCGATGAACAAAGCATCGCCACATCCCCAGTGCTCATCCCGCACTGGGTTACGGGCCCAAGGAGTGGGCTGGGATCCCCCCCCCCCCACTCCAGGGCTTTGCATCTCCTGCCCCTGAAGAACAAATGCTGTCAGGTCTGGATTTGGGGTGAAAAAGGTGTGTTTTGGGATGCGTCTCACCGTGCTTGTGGGGTGGTCCTCACCAAGGTGCCCCCTGCACCCCCACTGCTTTGGGCGCCCCTGGACACGTGGTGCTCCCTCTGAGCACTGCGACCCCAGCTGGGTGCCCTGGCCACCTCCTGCTTCAGTTCCTGACCCAGATGGCTTTACGGTGACACTTTCCCCAAGAACTGCAGCCCTGGGGGATGGCTGTGGCTCCTCTCCTGGAGGATGCTGCACTGGCACCATGGTGTGGCAGTGGGTTTGCTGTGCCCTGGGGCTGGAGCATCCCTGCAGCCCTCCCTGGAGCTTTAATGAGAGATAAAGGATGCGGCCCGCACGCTTTGCTGACAGCCCCAATTCCACAGCATTGTGCTGATTTTCCAAAAAAAAAAAAAAAAAAAAAAAAAAGGCCCTTCCTGGGGGCATCCCCCCTGGCCCCACTGTTGGTGTTTAATCCACATGGACCGTGTGTTTTCCGCCTGGTTGGAGGAGGATGAAGCACTGAGCCGGGTGGGATGGGAGCACAGCTGCTGGGATTAACCCACAGCGCCGCAATGGGATCAGGGCTTTGTCCCTACCCCGAGGGCACCGCAGAGCTGGGGCGTCCCTTTGAGTCCGGTAATGCCCCTTTAGTGCTGGTGGGCTGGGGGGCTCTGACCACAGCCACGCACTTCAGGCACCCTGCATTGCCCTCCCCCTGCACAGGGATGCTCGGAGGCATCCTCTGGTGTGGTCCCTATCCCAATCCTAATTCCCATCCCCTTCCAATCCCAATCCCCATCCTAATCCTCAGTTCCCATCCCCGACCCCATTCCAATTCCAGTCCCCATCTCAATCTCCAATCCCAATTCCCATCCCTGACTCCACTCCAATCTCCGTCCCCGTTCCAATCCCCCCCATCCCCATCCCACACCTGCCCCCATCCCTGCCCCATGGCCACAGCTCCCACAGTGACAGAGCCCCGGACAGGACAGCACATCAGGGAAAATTTCCAGTCTTCCTCTTTTACAGTCTCTGTCTCCTGCCGCGGAGGGAGCCAACTGGAACAAAATACTCTGTAGAAATACTTCAGTATTTTCCTCTCTCTCGCGCGCTCTCTTTTTCTGGATTGTGAGTACAGCTGTAGATTCAGTGAGCTGGTTCAATTATAATAAAATATACAGTATATATTGTAAATGATGCTGCGGGGCATGGAGAGGTTTCTTTGCATCCCTCCCTCCCACCCCAGCCCCCGGCAGGATGTGGCCCCACGCCTCCAGCTCTGCAGCTCAGCTGCTTTGATCCCTTTCCAGTCCCATTTCCCAGACAACACAGGGCTCTCCCCCACCCCAGCCCCCGACAAAGGGCTCAGCAGGTTGTGCTGCGACCGAAGGGACACCCCGAGCCCCCCCTGCTGAAGGATCCCTCTCCCATCCTTCCTGTATCCCCATCTGTGCCAATTACCCCACACGGAGGGCTCTCACATCCCTGTGCCGAGCACATCAGGGCTCAGCTACAGCCATCTCCTGGCTGTGCTGGCTCTTAAAAGCAAAGCCTGCACACTGCAGGAGCCGGGAAAGGTTGGACAGACAGCTCAAGGCCAAAGCTCAGCCCCAAATAGTCCCAATGTTCCCAACAACCGGCAACAGCTTCATCAGTCCCCGCTGCCCCCATCAGCCACCAACAGCACCATTCATCCCTACTGGTCCCACTGGTCCCCAGCAAACCCCAGCAGTCCGCGTCGATTTGTACGATTCCCTGCTGACCCCCACCAAGCCCTACAGCCTCCATCAGCCCTCCTGACCTCCATCTGCCACACTTGGCCCCGCTGACCCCCACCAAGCCCTGTAACCCCCACTGGCTCCTCTGTCCTCCATCAGCCCCACAAACCCCACTCCCAGGTTCCGGGACCCCCAACCCCGACCCATACGGGCCCCGGGGTTCCACATTTCTGATGGGCTCCAGAAGTTTCCAGCGCGGCGGTGACGCAGCGGGTCAGGGCCGGGCTCGGGCTCCTGCTCTGACTCATCCCCCCAGCACTGCGCATCCCAAGGACTGTTGACGGGAAGGGGAGGGCAGGCTGGGAGCCATCCAGCTCCCATCCATCAGCGCCAAGGAGCCGTGCGGGGCGGGCAGCCGGGGCTTGCGGCTGCGCAGGGCCAGAGAAAGCTTCTGGTTCCTTCCCGGCCCCGCTGCGATTTCCATTAATAGCCAGCTGCTCCTGCCGGCTAAAAATAACCATCGGGAAGCGTTCATAAGGCCCTACAGCCGCTCCACAGCACCGCCCTGCACACCATGGCCGAGCGCCGCGTGCCCTTCACCTTCCTCAGCAGCCCCAGCTGGGAGCCTTTCCGCGACTGGTACCATGGCAGCCGCCTCTTCGACCAGTCCTTCGGGATGCCGCACATCCCTGAGGATTGGTACAAGTGGCCCAGCGGCAGCGCCTGGCCCGGGTACTTCCGTCTGCTGCCCAGCGAGAGCGCCTTGCTGCCCGCCCCTGGGTCGCCCTACAGCCGCGCGCTGAGCCGGCAGCTGAGCAGCGGCATCTCCGAGATCCGGCAGAGCGCCGACAGCTGGAAGGTCACCCTGGATGTCAACCACTTTGCTCCCGAAGAGCTGGTGGTGAAGACCAAGGATAACATCGTGGAGATCACCGGTGGGTCTGAGGGGTGGGGTGGCGGGGGGACGTGGAGGGCACGGGGGATGTGGGGTGGTCGGGTGGATGTATTCGTGGTTGGGGTGTGCAGTGAAAATGGAGCGAGGTGGGAAAGGGGAAAGGGAAGGGGAAAGAAAGAGTGTGGGAAAGGTGGAAGGGAAAAGGAAAAAGGAAAAGGCAAAAAGGAAAAGGAAAGAGAAAAGGGAAATGGGAGAAGAGGAAACGAAAAAAGGGAAAAGGGAGAAGGGAAAGGTAAAAGGGAAATAAGAAAGGGAAAGGGAAATAGGGATGGAAAGGGAAAGGGAAAGAAAAGAAAGGGGGAGGGAAGGAGAAAGGGGAAAGGGAAAGGAAAAAGGGCAAAGGAAAGGAAATAGGGAAGGAAAGGAAAAGGAAAGTGAAAGGGGAAGGGGAGAGGAAAGAAAAAGTGAAAGAGGGAGGAGCAGAGAGGAGAGGGAAAAGGGAAAAAGGAAAAGGAAAGTGGAAAAGGAAGAAAGAGAAAAGAAAGGGGGAAAAAAAAAGGGAAAATGATAAACTAACAGAGAAGGCATAGGGTTACAAGTGCATTCCAGGCATGACTCACGGTGTACACAGTGTGCTGGGTGCACAGCCCCCAGCCCCACACTGCTGCTGTGCGCAGCCCATGGTAGGGATGCGATCTGTGCCCCATCGGGACAGAGCTGGCAGTGCCATGGGGCAGAGCCAGGCCCACAGCACCCTGAGCATCCCTGCATGTCCGGGAGGGGACTCAGCAAGGGGTGCTGTGACAAAACACAGACCCATGGCATGAGGCCAGCAGTGTGCCCAGCACAATGGGAAGCTGAAACAAAGGCAATGGAGGTCGGTTGGGTCCACCATCACCGTCTGTTTTCTGCCCTTAAGTGTAGGGGCTTCTCCTGTAGGGACACAGGTGTCTCCCATCACTCAGGGCTGCATGTAGGGCAAGCAGGAGTGCTTCCATCCCGCAGTTGATGGAGCAGGGAAAGGCAAACCACAACTGTGGAGACCCAATGGGCACCAACCCTTTGCTGTTTATTCCTTCCAGGCAAGCATGAGGAGAAACAGGATGAGCACGGCTTCATCTCCAGGTGCTTCACCCGCAAATACACGTAAGTACCAGGCTGGGGAGAGAGGGGGCACACAACCTGCCCATCCCCAGCTCACACACACTGGGGTTGTCATTGGCCCCAATGGGAAACACGCTGGGGGATTTTCTGACCTCTCCCCTCTCCCCACAGCCTCCCCCCCGGTGTGGAAGCCACAGCCGTGCGCTCCTCTCTGTCCCCCGATGGGATGCTGACAGTGGAAGCCCCGCTGCCCAAACCGGCCATCCAGTCATCTGAGATCACCATCCCTGTCACCGTTGAGGCCAAGAAGGAAGAACCAGCCAAGAAGTAGGAAGAGGCCCGGCTGCTGTCCCTGCCACGCACCCCACACGCCTGCCCCCAGCTCCTGCCCCCCTTTGTATTTTTTATTTGTACTCACCCATCACCCCAGTGCCTTGAATAAACATGGAGGAAAAGGAAAAAATGATGGGAATAAAAGTGATGGAAGAATCCTGCCCTGTGTCTGCCGGCCACATCCTAGAGCCTACATGCCATTTCTCACACCCCATACCCCACAGCTGGACATCCCAGGTCTCCAGAGTTGTAGAATCATAGAATAATGGGTTATCCTGTGTTGGAAGGGATCCATAAGGATCACTGAGTCCAACTGCTGGCTCCATGCAGGGCCGTGTCCCTGCTTCCCACACCCTGGGTTTCAGCAGTGTGGGTCTCCAACATCCCAAGGTTAATGTCCTGGTCTCCATGTCCTGGGGATCTGACACCTTGGGTCTCCAGAGTCCTGGGTCTCAACACTACATATCTACCACACTTGAGGTCATGACATCCTGACTCTCCAACAGCACTGCGACCAGTATCCAGGGTCCCCAAAATTCC